ACAGCCCCTGTCCTTCTCTATGGGACTACACGGCCATACGACGCCCTCTGCTCACCCGCCCTGCACGTCCATGCGGCTGCGGGTAAGGCCCCGTTCCCACTGCGCGATATGCAAATCGCGCGTTTGTCGCGCGATTTGCATATTGCGCGATATCGCGTTCAAGCTTGCATTGAGCAAGCTTGAATCGTGGCTAAATCCGCTCCAAAAAGGGTCCTGCTGTAGCGACACACGACCCACGACAGCAGGACCCTTTGCCCCATTGAAATGCATTGGAGCGCGATATCGCGCGGTAATTTGCCGCGATATCGTGGGAATTACCGCGCGATAAATCGCTCAATGTGAACGGGGCTTAAGCGTACTCGTACGCTGACAGTATGGATCCTGTCTGCGTCCGAGCCAGGAAACACGCACCCATACGGACCTGTACTTGAGGTGAGCGTAGGGAGTGCCGCATAGTCCAATAGAGAAGGACGGGGGCTGCGTACTAATCACACGCAGCACCTGTCCTTCCCGGGAGCTGCCCGATACGGCCCTGCATGCAGCACTGAGCTGTACGTGTCGGCCGATTCCAGTGTGAATGAGCCTTAAAAGTTCATGATGAACTAAATTTACACAGTAGGTTCCCCCTGTCGGCACCCTTCCATCAAAAATCAAAGAAGCTGGATTGTAAATTTTGGGGCGAATCGGGGCCCGTCATTGTATTCTGACAACGGCGCGCCTGCCACTATCAGAATACAAAGGACACAGTAGGAGATTCGTTCATTCACACTGTTTAGTGTGGATGGAGGAGTTTGTTATATTTTTAAAAAATATAACAGTATAAGGCCAGCTTTACTCTCTGTTATGTTAGATAACTTCAGTGGCCTTGTGTCACCCATGACTGTAGTCATTGGCTGTGTTCAAACATACCTTTATGCTATTCTGCTTTTTTGTTTTTCTTTTGTTATGTACATTGCAGTGTTTACAAATTTGGTTTATACATCAACAACAGGTAATGATGTGTCAATATGCCCCACATAAAGCATATTGTAAGCCCTCAGGGGCAGGGCCCTCCTTACCATCTTGTCTTGAATTGTATTGTAACTGTAATGTCTTCCTTATATTGTAAACTGTTGGAGTTATATACATCTTGTATAACAATAATAATAATTGTAACTCCATGTAGGTAATAAAGAAAACAGCAATTAATGCAGTTATGTATTTATTTAAAAATCATTAAAGTCCTATATACAGTACATGTGTACAATGTTGTAATGCATATGCGTTATTGTGCATTATGTTGCGTTAAAGGAAAAGTCAATAAAAAAAATAAGTAAATAAATACTGTAAATGCACATATCATCATAAAAGAAAAAAAATCTGTATGTATTATTATTTTGCCTTGGACCCAGTGCAACCGCAATCAGTGCAGATTCTTCCTTCATAGGTACAGACATTTAACATGGATTGAAGGAAAAATGAATGTACTACAACTGTGATGATATCAACAGTGGTGGAACTATTACCATAGCGACCCAGGCGACCGATATGGGGCACAGGGGGGCCCAGCTAGGACGAAGAACAAAAGGGGTCCCCCTGATGCCGTGCGGGCCTCCTGGGTCGCTATGGCATCGGCGGCTGTAAAGAGGAACGGGCCGCTGTTCAGATCACTGACAACCTGTCAGTGATCTGTGCAGCAGCACGTTCCTCCTCACAACCGCTGCTAAATCAGTGACTGCCAGCAGCTGCAGAGGAGGTTGGGCCCCGCGTCGGCAGTGGAGGAGGAGGCGGGACCCGGCGTTGGCAGTGGAGGAGGCGGGCCCATCGACGGAAGAGGAGGCGCGGCCTGGTGGTGGAGAGGGCTGACAGGTAAAAAGGTTTGCAGGGGTGTGACAAGCCCACCTGAGACCCTGCAGAGCCCACCGTAGAGAGTCTATGGTGGGCTCTACAGGGTCACTCTCAGATGGGCTGTGTGGGATCTCAGGTGGCAAGGGGCATAACTAGAAATCACAGGGCCCTATACAAAATGTTGCTATGGGGCCCTGTGATTTCTAGTTATGCTACTGGATATCACCACACTTGTATTCCATGAAGAACTACATGTCCCTCTGCCGTGGTGGCTGGCGCGACTTTCTCAGATCCTGTCAAGGGATCTGTGAATGGATGATGGGAATGTATGGGCGGAACCATGCAGAGGCACGCTATTTTTTAGAAAAAACAGCAGCCTGTGAGAAGAAGAACCCCACAAATCAAGGGGGCGGCATGGGGTTGGGGGGTTGCAATGTGGCCATATTTTTCATGTTATACCCAGAATATGGGGGAGACATGAAAGGTAATCTTAGCCTTCAAAGTGAATGGGCTGCCAATGCACCTCAGCTTATCCGAATACAGTCATGACTAGGTGTCACGCCTAGCGTACTGCGGTTGTGAACCACAACTGCGGAGATAGGTGAGGTAAGGTTTATAATGGCAATCAGTTCTGAACTCCAGGCGTCACTCTTAGTCTTAAGCAAAGAGTTTGGAGTTCGTGACATCATCTGCCAACTGGATCAGGGATTTAAGATTTTGGTGTAGGCAGGATATTACTTCATACCCCCTACTGGTTCTATAGAGTAACGTGGTGGAGAAATCACGTAGACTATGGTATAAAATAAAGTCGTACTATAATGAATGGAGCAGAGGAATGGGATCCAGCACAAGATTAAATGAAAGTGTTATCCATAAGGTGTTTGTATAATATAATCAGGTCAGCAGGGGTTAAATGCTATTCTTATTACTATCACAGATGCATCATAGTATTCAAGCCAGCATTTGGTAAGTAGTAAAGTCTTATCCTTGTAGTAGTAGTAGGAGTAGTACTAGTAGTAGTAGTAATGACGCAGCGCCCGGCATTCTGATTGGCCGGGAAGCCGGCGTCATGCTCCCTCGTCATCTCATAAATCATAATATTAGGGAAGTGACCTTAAAGCATTAGTTTGTATTGCTTTAGAAAAAATGTGATCTGTCCCTTTAAGAAAAAGTATCGGTAATTGGTATCTGCGAGTACTTGATCAAAAGTATCGGTACTCATACTCGGTCTTAGAAAAGTGGTATCGGTGCATCCCTAGTCATGACCCTTGTTTCGTAATGCAAACAAGGGTCATGCAATATAGGGCAATGTACTACCATGCTTTGCCAAGTGTTGTGACATCCTACAACACAGGTGCATCGGGGTGCAAAGTGTGATACGCAAAAGTGTAATTCGGCACTAACTTTTTTTTAACTAAGGTTGGGTTGCAGTGTGTTACATCAGCACACGCTTGTTATTTCACGTGATTATGTGTTGCATTGAGGCAGCATTTTTAGCAATGCAGTGCACCACAATGCAGGGTAGTGCATTACCGTGCATTGTGGTTCACTGCAACACAGGTTACTGCAATGCATTGGTATGAATCTGCCTTAAGCCATTAAAATCCCCTGTACAGCAACACTTAGAATAGGGGTGGGCAACTCCTGCCGGACTTCCACAGCTGGAGGGCCAGACTTGCCCACCCCACACATTTATAAATCTTTCTGCCAGATTACAGCTTGGTGAATGCTCTTTGTTTGACACTACCGCCACTAGATGGTGCTGAGCAGCATAGTAGTTTCCTATGCTCCTCAACTGGAAAACTTTTTTTTTAATCAAACCAGTGGTGTTTTCGTATGAAAAAAAACCGCAACAAGAACACTGCACATGCGCAAACGAAAATCCCTTCTGTCGATCGAAGAAATTCGGCGAGTTAGTATTGCTAACGAACGATTATCGAAATGACATTGGTCTGTGCTTCATGGGGTATTTGAGCTAGAATCGAACGAGGGTTCTTGGCAGCAGTGGCAACACAAGGGGGGTGCGGCCCGCACCCGGGTGACACCATTGGAGGGGTAACACCAAAATGGTGTCACCCCCTCTGAAAAGTCGGGCACTCGTTCATGGACCGAGAGCCCGTCAGTTTCGGGAGAGAGGAGGGGACACGGCGGCATACCTCATCCCGCCGGGTGACTGTCCCCTCCTCTCCCTGCCAGCGAGATGGCCGTCGGCAGGTATCAATAAGATCGCCGCTCGTGCGCGATGACGTCATCGCGCACACGCGTGGTGACGTCATGCGCATGCGGGGTGACACACGGCCTCGGGACGCCCCTGCTTAGCAGCAATGAAAATTTCCGATTGAAAATCTATAGGTGTATGGCGAGCTTTAGACTTGAAAAGGGAAGAGCAGCACTTGGGACCAATCCATTTTCCTACATTCACATGTGCTGAAAGGAACATACTGACTGGAAGAGAGAGCAGAGTTATGACCTTAATAGAATTATACTGCTGCTTTGTTGACCAATTACAGGTTCGGAGCAGGGAAGTAACCAAACTGTATTGCTTAGCTACAGAAGAGAAAAGTCTTGAAGGGCTTTATAAATCTCAGGACTGAATGGACAGGAATGCAGTACAACTCCCAGGTATGTATTTCAGTGTATTTATCTGTTCAGCTTTAAAAAAAAATGAATTTGAAAACATTAAACTAATTATGGTTTCCTAGTTATCTAATGAAATATATAAACACACAGGAGCCTTCTACTATTTTTTTTCTTTCCTGGAGTGAAAAGGTGGAGTTTCAGGTTAATCATTGCTGCCACTGAACAATGCTAAGACACAGAGGCTTCGTCCCACATACAGAGTCCTGTTTATATTAGGAGGTCATGCTTTCTGTCACACCTCTGTCACCTGCCCAGTTCTTTGGTGTAATTGCCACTTTAAGGTGTGCCGCGTACACTATCCCTTGGTTACTGTGTCCTAATCAATATTTATGGCAATCAGCTGATTGTATTCCCGCCCCAAGCTGTGTGTACACTAGGCAGCTCAGGTCCTCGTCACCCATTGCAGGCAACCCATCGTTCTGCACTGCACAGACAGAATGTGCTGGGGAGGTCAAAGGTGACCGGAGCAAACTGGGTGCTGGGTGAGCAGACTGGATTCCATAGTTGGGTCTAGCTAGCACGGTACACACAACATGCCTTCCCTGCGGACCAGGAAGAGGATCGGAGTCTGTTTGAATGAGACGAAGAAGAGGAAACTCAATTTTCACGTATTTGAAGATCTCTGCAGGTAAGCTCTATCTGATGTTACTTTGGGGGTGCGACACGCTTACTGTATTGGATCGTAGAGTTGTCAATGTTTCAAAAACATTTCCAAAAACACCTTGTGGGTATCTAAACTTGCCACGCTCTGTGTGTTAACCATGAAGTGCCATAAAAGAACATACATGTTCTTTTTATGAAAGGGGACAAATCCCAGAAGCCAGGTAGCCAAAGTTCCTTAAAAATGACAGTTGGCTTCTAACTGTTGGGGTCTTATTTAGTTGTTGTCAGTGGAGCCGGCTCCTGAACAAATCCCGCTGGCTCCTGAATTCCATAATAATTTGTCCACTCCAGGGATATTCCATACAAAACGGATATTTCAGTTAATGGCAGGAGCCAGGGGAGTTGAAACACCCTTCTGTTCCTCAAGGACTCCAATGGTGAGATCGTTGAGGTTGAGTTCCTGGATCTTAAGAACAATCGAAACTCCAAAGTTGATGGGGACGGAGCTGGAAATGATGACATGGAGGTCTCACCTTTGGGGCATACAAGACATAAGAGGTCCAAGGTTGACGCAGCCCACCAGGTTCCTCCTGACAGAAAATATCAGTTTTTGGTGGACTTTTGACTCTTTTGCTGTTTTTCAATGTGGAATGTGAAATGATTTGAAGCTGATTGGCATTAACAAAGAAGGAATGTATGCTGTGTATGGAGAATGCTGAAAGCGAGGGAATTTTCAATGAGTCAATGAATAGAAATCTGGGACTTTCGGTGGAAGGGAGGGCGGTTGACAGCTGTGACATCCTATATCTTAATCTGCGAGGGGAATTTATCAAAACTGAAGCAGACAGAATCCAGAGCAGTCACCCATGGCTGATTGGTTGACATGGGCTGATTGGTTGCCATTGGCAACTGCTCTAGAGTCTGTCTGCTGCAGTTTTTATAAATTCCCCCTCCCTATGTTTATTATTAAAGTGTATCCAAACCCCAGCACAAAGGTTTACCAGCTTACCAGTCCTTTAGATGTGGTGGCTGTATTCGTTTTCTTTTTTTTCTTCCTATACAGTATATTAACACAATACCACGCTACTTGTCCTAGGGTAACAATGGCCACTTATCATCCTGTTTCTATAGAGAAGCCGAGTTGTTACCCTAGGATGGGACTCCTGAACAGTCCCTCAGGGACACGTCTCCTATCCCCTCCTCATAGGGACCCCCCTATCCCCTTATCCCATAACATAGGAATGGGGGTATTTTGTAGTCCACAGAGATCGCTGTGAACAATACAAACTGATAAAAATAATATATGTACTATATTAATATTTGTACTGCGTAGGATATATATAACTTTTGGTGATTGTGTACCATTCTTACTGAAGTGCTTTGCCTGTATCTAGTTGTACATTACAGTGAATGTACAATACAGGCTGAGATATAAATTGTTATTTTGAAAGCAGAATATGTCCAGTATTTCTGTATTTACAATAATTTCCTTTTTTTGTGGTGTTTCTGGTTTTATAAATATACTTTACTCAGTGTCCTCTCTCGTCTCTTCTAGGAATCACGGCTATGATGTGACAGAGGTGAGTTTTAATTGGTATTTCCTCCTTTTGTTATCAGATCAGCGTGACAATGTGACACCCGAATCTGGACATGCTAGTATTTTTTAGGCTTGGCTCTCCCCCACCCCGTCATTCCTGGCGCAGACAATACAGGTGAATAAGATGACCTCATCTGCCTGCAAATGGCAAATATTTATTTGACTGACTCCATCAATGGAGTGTTATAAAGGGATGTAGCTACTCTATATTTTCACATCAAACCTGTTATTTCAATTAGAATAGTCATGGCCATACATGTTATAAATACCACAGCAACCACAAAATGTATGGGGGGTGCTGGTGGTTACGTTCAGGGGGGGGGGGGGGGTTTGATGGGGTGCTGGTGGTGCATGCTAACGACACTCTGGCCAGCATCCTGTACCACCCAGCTCTGGCTAGCATCCTGCCCAGCTTACTGATATCCATGTTTGCCAGGAGTTGAGTGGGACACTCTGGCTGGGGCATCCCACACAGTTCACTGACATCACTAGTTGCCAGGACCTGAGCGGGACATTCTGGCTGGGGCATCCCACATAGCTCACTGACATCACTGGTTGCCAAAAGCTGACCAGCTGACCAGAGCTTCCTGCTCAGCTCCTGGCGCCTGGTTCTAAACATCCCTTAAGGTGCCCATACACCTTACGTTTATCGGACAAAACTTTTCGTCCGATGATCGAATAGTCGTACGATTTTCGTACGGTAGCCCCATCCTGCCCCGATGATCGCAAGATTTTATTTAGCCGTAATTAACGAAAAGCACCTGGACGAAATGCGGTAATTGATTTGCCGTATTTTCGTTAGCGCATGCGCAGTGTAGATCGTACGACTTTTGACGGACGGAAACGCCAGCAACCTTACGACAATCGTACGATCGAGCAAAGTTTTCAAACATGCTTGACCGTCAAAAGTCGTACGATTGTACAGTAATGTCGGACACTGCAATGCACACATACGATTATCGGACGAAAAGTCGATCGCATACGAAAATCGTCCGATAATCGTAAGGTGTATGGGCACCTTTACTCTATGCAAACCATAATAATAAAGTCTAGTAATATCGGCTATAGATACACTTTAAGTTGTGCCACACTCCTAGACAATGTCGATGGTCTCCAAGTCCAAATCCTCAAGGCTCTAGGGTGGTGCTTTTGTTTTGTTCTATTTACAGATTTACTGTTAAGACAACGTTATCCCCCCATTTAGGTTACTAATCAGTGCAGCTGTGCCCAAACCTGGTGGTTTGCAATATTAAAGATGTCATATCATAATTGTATTATATTTTCTCTTTAATGTTCTTCTGTAGATTACTAGCAAATTGGCTAAGTGGGTGAAGCTAAAGTATGATGCCAAATGTCAAATCCAAATGCCCATTCTGCTGTGGTTTACTATATATGACCACCATGTGATTTGGAGGCTATCATTCACTATATGTTAAAGTGGTCTCCCTCTTCTAAGACAAAGAGCAAAGTGCTGCAACCCATAGCAAACAATCAGAACAAAGCTTTCATTACAGTGCTCTTTGGGAGCTCTGAATAAATTGAATTGTAATTTATACATCTAAAGGTACCTAAAGACATGACACAATGTCCATATGATTGTTCTCTGGAACATGAATGAATGAACCAGTCAGGTTTGCGTGTTTCTGCCCTGTGGAGGCCTACATGATGCCAAGCTTATCTCTAGAGAAAAATAGATTCTTCCTGTCATATCTGTGGGGTGAGATTGATGAATAGTTCCCGGAAATGGTATTATTTACTAAGTTACTCATAACCTTTATCGGTCTTCTGTTTTTCTAGGTTGACCTCACTAAGTGTCTAAATAGTCAAGGGCCATTTGACTTAATCATCCACAAGTTATCGGACCTCCTGGTGGAGGCTGGTCAGGACCTTACCTCCCATCACCTTGTCCAGAGGCTTCAGGTAACCTATAAAAAATGTGGTGTTTTTTTTATACTGTTGATAATGTTAGGTTGCTGACATCTTCTGAATCGCCTCCAAAATAATGACGCTTGAAGATATCTGACCCTATGTTAACAAATTTCTGAATCCCAGTACAAAGCCAACTTTGACTTGGTCCTTCCCTTTTTTCCGTGATTGTCGCCTAGGAAGGGTATTATCGATTCTAGGGAGGCCAGAAAGTGATGCTAAAATGGAAGCATTGCATGTAAGTATCAGGCAAGATATGGTCCTTTAAAGAGCAAGATACAATCGAAAAAAAGAAACCTCCTTTCAAGAGTTTATAAAGATCCAGCTAGTCCTTGGTTCTAATATTGCTTCTGATTAAAAACAACCACTGTACCCTAAGTGGTACAAAAAATAAACTATGCAGCTATTGTAAATTATACATGCTGCTAAGGGAAATAATTTACACTACAGGATGGGCATAATCCAAATGTGCACCCAACACATTTTACATTTCAGTACCCAGTTGATATTGTAAATCACAAGCAAGCAATGCACATAGAGTAGGGAAAGGTTAAAACCCTGCCACAAGATTGCTGTGTATGTCCCATTGGAGAGATTTTCCTTCACTTCCTTTATTTTTTTTTGTCAAATTATTTTCATTTAGGTTTGTATAAATATATAAAACAGGGTCGTAATGGGCACACCACCGGCCAAGAAAGTACAATAACAAGTAGACAGTAGACAAACAAGTAAAATAAAAACAGTAACAGTAAGTCAGCCCGCCCAGTCCCGAAAAACACCCCAAATGCATCTAGGATGATGGGAAAAAGTAGCCTAAACGAACATTATCGGAATAGAAGGTGCATGAGTCACCATGTCAGAGGAATGTCAGAAAAGAAAAGAAAATTTGGATTTATTTCACCCCAGGAGTGCTGGTGATCATAATTGCTGTTTATATGATATATGCACGGTGCCATCCGTGGCCATCACTACAAGCACCACCATTACTTCTGGTCTCTGTTGTGCATGGTGTGCAAGGGATATCCTCATTTATTTACCATTTTAGAGGGAACATCTCACAAATCAAAAGGCGATAGCTTTTACTTCCTGTTTCAAGACACAACCAGTAGCTGGTGAAAGTCTCTCCAAAGTGAAGGGAAATTTTTCGTAGGCAGTTGTCACCAGTACAGCTGTACTTTTTGTAAGATTTCCCCTCTATTCCTGTTCTGTAACCTTCAACACATTATCCTAAATGAAAAAAATGGTTTTGGATACACTTTAAAAGAAAAAACCTTAATGGAACCCAAGCTGCCCAATATTTGAGTTAATCCTCTAGCAGGGTTCCTTGAACCTGAAACATGCTGACCTGTGTTTCTAATGGTACTTCAGAACCTCCACCACACAATTAATATTTTATTATTTCAATTATACTATGATCTATTAAGTTGTCAACTGTCTGATAATGCCAAAGATACGATATAGCTCCATGATCTTTTTAGGTAGATTTTTATTTAAATGGTTATTTTGGCTTTTGCAGGTATATCTAGATAAACATCCATTTACCATCCTCCTGGACCCCCTTTCAGCTCTGCACACACTGCTGGACCGCTTTCAGTCATACCATCTCCTGCGCAGCCTAGAGTACCGCAGCCAAGGTCAGGATCCAAGCAAAGGTGTAATCAGGGAAGGGCACTAGGGGTGATTGCTCAGGCCATAGAGAAGATCTGGGCAAAATATCAGAATTAGACAAAAAGAATTGTCATGGCTAGAATACCTAGGTTGTGAGGTCTTTAGGAGACTGTACCGATGACGATCATCGCTGGGTCAGACCAAAATTACTATATTGGTCCACCTCTGCGTTGTTGGTTGGGTGACAAAAATGACAGAAACACACTAGGAAATGGCGTAAGACTTAATGGGATTCTCAGTGAGGTCCCAGAGGATGTTCACATAGCTCCCAAATGTCCCTCATTTGGAGGCACTGTACCTCTTTTGGAGTCAGTTATCCCTCTTTCTGATCTGATCTTTACATCTCTGTAAAATAAATAAACTAGTTACCTTTTAAAAGTATTAGACAACACTGAACCCTTCATACAACTTCTAAACAATTGCATTTGTTATTTTGAATAGCCAGTATTAAGGAAGAGTGCTGGTAAAAAAAAAAAGCTCTTGTGGGTGGGACATAATTACTTGTGGATTCTTCATGTTCTGCATAACTGGGGTCCTGGCAAGTGTGAGCCCTCTACCAACAGATTTTGTGCTGAAAGGTGTCCCTCTTTCTTCTCTCAGATTTTGTGCTGAAATGTGTCCCTCTTTCCTCTCTCAGAAGGTTGGGAGGTGTATGTTCACTCCTCATGAATTTGATTTTAGGAAAGGACTGCGGTCTTTTCCTAAAATCATCCACAAGCAGAGGACGTAACCCGTTATTGTAATTTTGGAACCTGAGCTTTTTTCCGGTTTCAGACCTGCTTAGATATTTAATGCAGTGGTGGTGGATTTGTGGCTACAGACAGGTCTTTTCATTTAAATTTCTACACAGGTACCTGGTAATTAGAGCCATACGGACACAATGATGTTTTCATTACTGTTATAACAGAAAGTAGTGTTTTGTTTTAATATGGTATGTAGCTCTTGTTCTGTTTTTGAACTAAATGTATTTTTACATGCTTTATGTCCTCCAGGGGTCAGCGCCATATTCTCTCCTCCCTGTGTTGAGCTGATGACCAAACAAAGTGATGTTGTGGAATTAGTTCGAGCCAACTTGACCTTCCCTATCAGTATGTAGAGAGGCTTACTGCATTTTTGGATCTATGGGGCTCTAAATCGCTAAACCCTCCCATTGTGACACCCCATCCACACACATATACATCTTCCAGCACCTTATTAAATAGAACCGGTCCATGGAAACTCAAACCCAAATCTGTCATCTTATAGAACCAGTCCACGCAAACTCGAACCCAAATCTGTCATCATATAGGACCAGTCCACGCAAACTCCAACCCAAATCTGTCATCTTATAGAGCCAGTCCATGCAAACTCCAACCCAAATCTGTTCCATATCTGCTTCATATGTTTATTTACTTTTGGACTTTCTACCGAGTTAACCAGTAAATGGTATAATCCAAATAGAACAGACACTATACTGTATTTTCAGCAAGTACATATACTGTAGTACATATATTTTGAATTATTAGTGAGTCCATTGCTTTCAGTTAGGTCAGACCTGACCTAACTGACCCTATAGACTTTTGCTAATGCTGGCCATACACCAGTAGAATTTGCTTCAAAAATTTAGTTTTCAGAACATTTAATTTTCTAATGGTCAGTGGGGTCTAGTTGATGTTCATTTTCAACCGTAGTTAACAAGAAACATCGAAGTAGCAGGATGGGAATTTTTTTTTTTATTATCTGATGTAATTAAATTCTAACTGTGAATGTTATTTTCATCCGGAAAAAATCGTACCTATAACTTGCACAAAAAGGACACGTTGAACATGCCTGGGATGCTATTCAAGTTGCCGGGCTGGATGAAATTTTTAAGAGCTTTTGAATTAAATTGGTTGATTCAATGATGGCAAGATCGAATGTTCTGATTTTCATGAATGTTCAAACGAAATTCTAACAGTGTATGGCCAGCTAAGGAAGGAGGAGCAGTCAATTCTCAAGTACTGCTAAGCAAGAAACAGAGGCTGTGTGTATTAAGCAAACATGGTTGCCACCATGTACAAAAAGTATTACACAGATACAAGGCTTTTAAAACATTAAGTCGTAACAATAAGATTACTTATCGATGGACGTTTGCTGCACAATATGTGTCAGCATTGAACGGATGGAATCTCAGGCAGTGGTCCATATTGCTGCACATGTGACAGGGTGACAACGCAGGTACACAATTGGGAGACAGTTGTTACCCCATAACAGGCAGTGCCTAAAGAAGGACGTTCATGGCAGGATCACCAGGTATACTTTTAATGAAATATGTAGAATTACATATATTGAAAATTAACCTTAACATGTTAAAACTTATATAATATTTTAGTGGTTGGGTTTAGATCTGCTTTAGTATTAGTCATTAGAGTTCCTCCTCTTCTGCCCGGTATACCGTGTGTAATTTTCAGTGTTTGCCAAATGTCACTGATCTGTAGGACTGATAATATAATGGAGCTGTATTCAGTAGGTGCATCAGCGACAACTAATCATCATAATGTGATAAGAATCCATCCAAGCTGTAGAAACTATCCAGATACTGACAGCTACCTGGAAACGCAGCAATGTGTACTGATGCACATTCAGCAGAGGAACTGGAGCTTGGTGCTACCAATACAAACAAAATGACACCCTGAGAGCCCGGTGACATAAGCATAGAGGCGGTCACGTCTGTACAGTCGATCATGCACACAATGGCACCCTTGGCTGACACTCCCCAAGAACTTTGCTCGGAGTGTGAGATAGATACACTCTCCACCCGTCAATAGAGATAAGAAGCCATTAAAGCAGGGAGGGGACAGGCACCTACACACACCTGCAGGAAGCCAGATACTGTAACCGCAGAACACACAACCGATGGGCTCAAACCAGCTTTGCACATCACAGACAGGTCAAGGCAGACAACATGGGATGTTATGTGTTTAGCTTCTTCTGCATTACCACATTCCATGTGTGATAGTTGCATGTTAACCTGTTCCTCTACTGTTCAAAAGTGAAATGCCACTTTATCATTTAAAAGGGAACTGAAGTCAGTTTCTTTGGATATATTGTGGCAATACGTGTGACTTTAAGTAGATCTAAGCCCAATTGTTAAAATCTCATCTAAGCTTTAACATGTTAATATCATTTCAAAAGTTTTTTTTATCTTTTTAAATCTGTTGCTTTCAGAATACCTGTTGATCCTGCCAGGGCATTGTGCAGGCACTTTTGGTTATGGGGTGACATCCAGGTGTTCTTCTGCATTGTCACCCTGTCACATGCACCACTGGTGGAGACTAGTGATGAGTGAACTGGCCTGGGGTCAGTTTGTTTGCTGAACGCAGCCAGAAATTCCTAGCCCAAGACTGGTTGTGTCCTAACAACCAAGACACTGTGCAGGACACACAGCGTCATTGGTTGGTAGGACTCTAGTGGTTGGGCTGCACAGCACCAATGGTTGCTAGGACTCTAGTAGGTGGGCTGCACGGCATCATTGGGTACTAGGATCCTGGCAGATGCACCATAACAACCAATAATGCAGTGGGGCCGACAGCATTTTAGCAACCTAAGATGCTGAGCGGCTTGCACGGTGTTATTGGTTGTTGAGACACTGGTGGCTCCACTGCATTATTGGTTGTTATGGTGCACCTGCCAGCATCCTAGCAACCAGAGACACTGGGCAACCCAGTCACTAGTGTACTAGCAACCATAAGTTGTTACAGTGAACTTGCCTGCATCTTAGCAACCAATGACCCTGTGCTACTAATTGACAAATGATGCTGTCAATGGCAGCATCATTGGTGCAGTTAGTTCAGCTGAGAACCAGCTAAATTGTTGTCCGTTTGGATAACTGTGAACAGCTTGAGTTCAGGCCGAACTTATGATTGACCTGAACCCCAAGCTCATACCTAGTGGATACTATAAGCAGTTGTACTGACACACACATTTTACAGGCATGGTCCATTGCTGTCACTGTCAGTAAACTAGTTCAGAGTATGTGCAAAAAAGGATGAAAAAGGAACAAACAGCAATTTTTTTTTTTTTAAATGGTACACGGGGCTTTAGCAAACTAAATGTCATCCAGTTAGGGTTAAGTTCTACTTTAAAAGGTATCTTTGGATAAACAGGTAAATACACAGTTGAGACAAAGACATAGAAACAAAGACTTGTGAAGTAATACTCCTACACTTACTGGTATGATTCATCCACCCCTGATAAGGCTGAGCTGTCACACAATCTTACTTAGAGCAGAAGCTGGTCTGGCAGACATTACGGGATGGTTTGCCCATGTGTGTCTAGCTTTCTTGTCTGTTACCAGCTGTATGCACACAGGGCAATCTTCAGCCAATGTCAACAACTTTCCAGCAGCTTTGAATCAAAATGACCAAACAGATGAGTGTAACCTACTGCCAACAGTTTCTATCAACACAGTAAAGTTATCTAAAGTGTTGGTAAAAAAAAAAAAATCAAAACGAAAGGGAGTAGGTTAACATCATCCATTCAGTTGATATTACAGTAAAAAACTGGCTGCAAATAGTTGAAGTTGCCTAAAAACGTCCATGTGTGTTGCCAGCATTGCAATAGAGATTTATTTATTACAGGTATTTATATAGCGCCGACAATTTACACAGTACACATTCACATCAGTCCCTGCCCTCAAGGAGCTTATAATCTAAGGTCCCTATCACACATGCCAATTTAGACCAGAGCCAATTAACGTTCCAGCATGTCTTTGGAGTGTAAGAGGAAACCGGAGAACCCGGAGGAAACCCACGCAAGCACATGGAGAACATGCACACATCCTTGGCGCCCAAACTCTTCAAGCTTCTTCAATTGACATGTCTTCCTGGGATTTATGTTGACCTTTGCTACCCACCGACCTGTGATACATTATAAATATATTCTGATACACATTAGGGAGTGGTTAATATGGGGCACCTCATCACACAAGTGGATTTACGACTTTTTGTCTGTTTGCAAGCGGCTGGTACAAATAGTTTTTACCTATTTGTTCAATAATCTCATAATGATTATGGTTGTTTTCTTTCTTGCAGTTTGCAAAACCCGCGTAGCTCATGGACCGCGATCGCATGAGGTGGGAATTGTTCTTCTTGTCAGCTACTTCACATATTTGAAAGTCGTCATTCTTGTTTTGTATTTGCTTTTATCTTGTCTCTGAATTCCTCAAGTCTCACGGTGAAGAAATGCTAAACATACCTGTAGACATGAGATAACGGTCTCAAGAAGCTGGTAGTTTGTAGTGCCAAATGCTCTCTTATCCACTAAAGGTCATTTATAGGAAGGTTCTTCGTTAGACAAACATCGCCAAGAAAAAACAATCTGTTGAAATGTAATTTTTTGACGAATGAACAATCTCTTCATTTGTCTACTTTTCCCACTTAAAATGGACCTTCACCATTAATTGCACTTTCTCTCATTCCCTTTCTCACACCTCTCTCTTACACAATCACAAACAATTTCATTTGTTTGTGCATTTTATAGCTCTTATTTTTGTTCTTCACCTTCCCACGTCCATATTTCTGACCTAGGCGAGAATGATGTGCCATCAACTACCCACAGCCTCTTGGGATATCCACGTCATCCCAGTAGGCTTATAGGTCAAATGACATCTATGCAGGTGTGAAAGTTCCCAATACGTCATGAGGAAATGAGGAAGTAGGAGAATGTGTGAGAATAATGAATTCCGATGCACCCCAAACTGAATAAGGAGAACAGGGACTCATTCTAAACTCAGTGCCACCCTTATTTTTACAAAACTCACAAATCAGTGACAAAATAGGTAGATTGAACACCCCCACACTAGAAAAATAACCAGCGGTAGCAGATCAAGTTGAATAAACAAAACTTCGAGCTGGATCATAAATCCTGCTTAGCCCATGATCTGCAAAAAAAAGTAAATAATAATTTCATGGGAAAATTGTTGTAGAAATTAATGGTTTGGTGACAGGGTCTCTTTACGCCAAGGACCTTCTTTGAGTTGCCATTGAAGAGCAAATATGTCACAAACAGGTTGATTCCTGCCTACCGTTGAATAAGTCGCCTGTATGTTGGGATCTGCTGTCTAACACTAGCCAGCAATCTACACTATATTGCCAAAAGTATTGGGACACCGGCCTTTACACGCACATGAACTTTAATGGCATCCCAGTCTTAGTGCGGAGGGTTCAATATTGAGTTGGCCCACCCTTTGCCGCTATAACAGCTTCAACTGTTCTGGGAAGGCGCCCACAAGTTTTAGGAGTGTGTCTATGGGAATGTTTCACCATTCTTCCAGAAGCGCATTTGTGAGGTCAGGTACTGATGTTGGACGAGAAGGCCGGGCTCGCAGTCTCTGCTCTAATTCATCCCAAAGGTGTTCTATCGGGTTGAGGTCAGGACTCTGTGCAGGCCAGTCAAGTTCCTCCAAACCAAACTCGCTCATCCATGTCTTTATGGACCTTGCTTTGTACACTGGTGCGCAGTCATGTTGGAACAGGAAGGGGCTATCCCCAAACTGTTCCCACAAAGTTGGAAGCATGAAATTGTCCAAAATGTCTTGGTATGCTGACGCCTTAAGAGTTCCCTTCACTGGAATTAAGGGGCCAAGCCCAACCCCTGAAAAACAACCCCACACCATAATCGCCCCTCCACCAAACTTTACACTTGGCACAATGCGGTCAGGCAAGTACCGTTCTCTTGACAACCGCCAAACCCAGACACGTCCATCAGATTGCCAGACAGAGAAGCGGGATTCGTCACTCCAGAGTAAAGGATGGACACCGGCACTCCAAAGCAAATCCAATACTTGTATCTTGTGTTTTGCATTTGCAACAAGTAAGTGAATAAATACACGTACTGGATTTGCTTTGGAATCCGGTGTCCATCCTTTACTTATACTTTGACGGAAGCCACCCGTGATACCTGCTGCACCCACTTCTTATCTCATGGAGCAGCGGTTCTGAGTGTGATGTGCACACGGACTGTATCGTCACTCCAGAGAACACGTCTCCACTACTCTAGAGTCCAGTGGTGGAGTGTTTTCCCCCCACTGCATCTGACGCTTTGCATTGCACTTATTGCGCAGGTGGCAACCTTTCACGGTACCATGCTTGAATTCACTGAGCTCCTGAGAGCGACCCATTCTTTCACAAATGTTTGTAGAAGTGTCTGCATGCCGAGGTGCTTGATTATATACACCTGTGCCCATGGAGGTGATTGGAACACCTGAATCCAATGATTTAGAGGGGTGTCCCAATACTTTTGGCAATATAGTGTATGATGCTGTTAATTATTAAGGCTATTTGTGGTCACCCTATGACAAATTAGTGTTAGGTGAGCCCGCTCTATACCAATTTTCTTTGTTTACACATGGATACAGCTAAACCTACAAATCGAGTCAGAAGGCTCTCATGGACAGCAAACATCTACAGTATATCCATGCTGTTTTGGTTATCTAAATTAGCATTATCTAACCACTCTGCTTCCATCATGCAGATGTCCCTGATATTTAATGAGCGAGGGCTGAAAGAGGTGACTCCCCCATGTCTTCTTCAGAGCTTCATCAACCATAGCGCCACCCTGTACAAGGTGTTTGTAGTGGGATCGCAGCATTTTGTGGTGAAGAGACCATCCATACGGAATTTTCCCCTGGAAGAGACAGGTATGTCACACTGTCATGATAGAGGCTTTCAGCATTAGGTGTAGGCTTATACAGCACCCTCTTTATACTTAAAGTGACTCTAAACTCAAGCGCTATATGTTAAAAATGCATTCAAATACCCTATTAACAAAACTGTACTTTATGTGTGTATCACTCGGCTGTAGATCCTCAAATCACTACTTTTGTTCCCCATGGTCCCTGTGTGTGTTGTAAAGTAGTCACTGCTCCAAGCTCACTCCCGTGAAGGACTATAATCTCAGGTTTAGGTTAATAATTTGTATTGAGTGACCATGGGGAACAAAAGTAGCCCCCCTCCAGAAGGAAGGACAGTGTCAGCACCAATTCAGGGATGATTTGAGGATCTACAGCCGGGTGATACACACATAAGGTCCAGTTTTGTTAATAGTTGAGGTACTTGAATGCATTTTTAAGTTTTCACTCCTGAGTTTAATGTCATTTTAAAAAACCCACAACAGCTCCTTCAAAATTCCGGTGTTCACGTTATCTCTGTCTAAGACAGCAGCATGGTTTTCTTGCTTTTTTCCACAGAATCTAACTGAAGAATTTCACTGACCATGATGTTATCTTTTACATGCCAGCAATAAATCATTAGTTCTACTTCTTACTGACTTACTGTATGTTGCTACAAAACATACCTAGAAAAAGCTGGACCTGTCAAGACTGCAGACAAGAAGACATATCTGTAATCTCCTTATAGCTCAATATACCTTTAAACTACAAAGTGGTGGTTCTGGTTCTTTCATATAGTTGATAAACAATGTGATTTAAGCAGGGACCTTGCTTTAGTTTTACTTGAAAAACTTACTGTAAAAAATCCCTTTTATGTAGTGAGTGCTGCCTTCCATCTGCCCATCACGTTTAACATCTTCCTGGATTCCCAGCGTGCTTTGCATCTCTATCCCTGCTGCTTGATGTGATGTATTCTCCATTTCTCTAGACTACATATCCCATCATGCATTGCTTCCAGCAAGCAATGATAATGTTAAATTTTTCAGACGTTGAGTTGTAGTTCAGAAGGCAGGCTCTGTGAGTGGTGACACAAGGAAGGTCATATTCACAGGGCTGAGTGAAATGGTGTCAGTGCATTGAGAAAGTACATTCTATGGGCATATTTAATAACTAAGTTCACAAACTTCTAGATGGATCTGGTTATTAGGAGTGGGATAGAACGTATGGAAATTCAATATAGAAATATATGTTTTTTTAGTTTTTGACCTTAGATAACCTTTAATATAATCCTGAGATGAAGGGCTGCGTTTTTGCAGTTCTGGTATGTTATTTTATTTAATTCCTCTTTAATGGTTACTCTTTTCAGATCAGAAGACCATCTTCTTCAACAGCCATGAAGTCTCCAAAGCAGAATCCTGTTCTCACCTCTCTCAGGTAAGCTTATGGCACAACTCATTTATCTTTTGGTAGTCAGGCTTTCCAGGAAAGAGGTTCTGCTTACTTACACAGGGGGCCAGTTTAGGGACTTACAGTTCCCAGCTCACTACGTCCACAGGAAATGTCAGGTTTGGGTATTTTCTGACCCCTTATCTGATATCAGCCGTTCTGAGATTGACTGGTTGTAATGGGAAATGCCCCAATAGATACATATAGAACAAAATATCTGTCTATGGCAGATCCTCCCATCACTACATGGGAAAGTGTAATAGGTTTTCAAACAGCACATTTTATTTTGCTGTTCTATTATTATTATTATTTTTGTTATTATTATATCATATTCAGCTAGGATGGGAGCCCCCAAGGCAGTACGAGAATTGTTTTCTCTAGGCTAGTCTTGAAGTGACCTAGAAACCCTCAGAAAGTGCTGGAGCATGTGGCTATGGAACTGAAAATGCTACATAGATATGCCCTTAGAGGCTTCATCTCGATCTGTCATTACCCAGCTAGGATAGAAGCTCACAAGGCAGTACCAGACTTTTTTCTCTAGGCTAGCCTTGAAGCCACCTAGAAACCCTCAGAAAGTTCTTGAGCCTGCAGCTACGGAACTGAGCATCCTACATGAATGTTCCATTAGACGAGGCTTCTTCTCGATTTGTCATACCCAGCTAGGATAGAAGCCCCCAGGCAGTACCAGAATTTTTTCACTAGGGTGGCTTTGAAATGTCCTAGAGACCCTCATAGAGTTCTTGGTCATATGGTTAGAGAACTGAGCATCCTACATAGATGTTCCCTTAGAGACCTCTTCTCAATCTTTCATACCCAGCTAGGATGGCAGCAGGGCAGTATAAGAATATATTTTCCTGGCTGGCCTTGAAGCGACCTAGTAACCCTCAGAGAGTGTTTGAGCCTTTGTCCAGGTAAAAGAAAACCTGGTTTACCCTGTTTGGTCTGGGCAAGTAGAACATCTGAAAATATTACATCTGACCTACTGTATTGGCTTTCATTTTAATATATGGTGGAAGTAACCTATGAATTGCCCACAATAGCACGTCGGAATAATACATAGGGAGTTATCTGTAAGCTGGTTTAGTTTTGTCTTTTCTGAATTCTTTTTTTTTTCATTTCTAATTGATATAACTGCTTTTACTAAGCACACACATATTTTCTGAGAAAATTCTGAGCGTGGAAATCTATAATGAATACCTTGTGCCAACACATGAGGATTCAGACTGTTGGGAAATATGTTTCATACATACACTTTCTTCCTTCCAGACTCCCCTGTACCCAGACGTGCAGCCCCCATCAGATGACGTGGTCAGACAGGTGGTCCAGGGTCTACAGGAGGCTTTGGGAATGTCCCTCTTTGGTATAGATTTAATTGTGGACACGCAGACTGGCCGGTGTGCAGTGATTGATGTCAACGCTTTTCCAGGTATGTTGCTCTGGTTAACACTCTTACACTTTAAGAAATGGTAGAATATAGGATGACCATTGAGGACTACTCCAAAGGAATCACTTAGAAGAGTAGATTCTTCCACAGCAGGGTATTAGAGGAAAGACAAAAATGGAGAGAACAGAAATCCGGGAGAGATCCGTATAAGTGAAGTTTTGGCAAAATACAGACTGAATTCTGTTGGTACATTGGGTGAAGTATTGTTACTCACATAGGTTGGTTGCGTGATCTCCCTTGAAAGGGGTCTCAGGCAACCACATTGAAAAGGCTTGCGGAGAATACATCTGTCCCCGCACAGGTTAGAAGTCTTCTCAAGGCTCTATAGGGAGTATCTTTGGGTGATATGAAGGCTGGATCGCTCCTGTCCCCAATGTCATATGAGGTAGTTGATGGAGTTTTCCCAAAAATGAGGATTTCCTCAAAGAGAGGTGAGCAGAGGTGCCTGGGGTCCAAGAAAGAGTTCCGGATATTTTCTGGTAAATCCCTTTATTTGACAGGCAAGGAGTTCAGGTACACTGTCAACGCGTTTCGTAGTACTGTATGACCACTTCTTAAGGAAGGTGTATGAGTGGGCTTACAGCAATTGGTGTGGTGGCTTCCAGTCTGTGTCACCTCTCTTTGAGGAAATCCTCATTTTTAGGAAAACTCCTTCGACTACCTTATACTCCAAGGGAATAGCTGGAATATATTTGGTGACACATTGGGTGAAAAATATTTATAAATTATTAATTGTTAAACTATGGCAAAAATAAGAGTAGAATTTGCTCCAAGGGGCTTTATAACATGCAGAAATCATGTTTCTTATGACTACTAGTCCTTTAAAGGTTCACTCTAGGTAGATGAAAAAATGTGGGCTTGAAATGCACATGAGATTCACAGACTACATGCTCAGGGCTTCAGTTTTTCATTGAGGTATTGTTGTAGTGCACCTGTGCACACCATTCCCCTTTGTTGGTAATCTGAGAGCCCCTGTTTGTAATGCAAACAAGCTACTCCCAAAAACACCCACTGTGAACTTCCTTGCCACCACCAGTCAAATTCAAGCCTGCTGTGAGAGAATGACTGCTGGAATAAAGAGATAGGCAGTTGTGCAGCACATATTCTTGACACATGCCCATTTACTCCACTTGCTGTGGGCTGCCTGAAATTTTGTTCCAAGGGTTACCTAGGACTCAGATTAAGTGACTTATGCATAAGCAGATGTTACCTCTTACTGTTTGTCAGGTTAATTAGTAGACTCAGAGATACAGGTAGATGAATGTCATATCCTGACAAAACTGAACTTGGCCCTCACCACTTCTGCTCCATCCTGATCATCAGTGAGACTGACCATTACCTTAATGGTCCAATATGGAGACTCAGGAAGATAAAGGGGTGGTGCCAAGCTATACTTTTACAACAAAATTGGAGATTTGCACGTCATTTCAACTGCCTTCACCTCTGGATTTACTGATCATTATGGAATGAACTTTAATTAGGTAACTAATTACTGATTGTGTATTTTAATTATCAAATGCTGAGCTTTAGGAAGGTTTTAGCAGAACTCCAAATAGCCAATAGCAACTACTAGAGACCATCCAAGTGAGTCTTACATTCATTTCTAAATTTCTTTTTCAGGCTATGAAGGAGTCCCTGAGTTTTTCTCTGCTTTACTCTCCCATGTGGAGAAACGTTTAGGAAACAACCAGGATCAATCCTCTACATTGGAGCTCCAAGCCTCTATCCCTCAGTGTGAGGAGCACAGTATGGAGCGGAGGTCCTTGCCAGAGCCATGCAAAAGGCAGCTCAGTTCTCCTTCCTATTTCAGCATGTACACCCCACCCCTGTCTGCTGATTGTTGACAAATAACATGTCCACGCTTGTGGATTTCTTGGAGAACATTTGGGTGTTTGTGGCATTCGATGTGGAGAAGCATGGAGCTTTTCCTACTAGACTTAAACAATTGGCCTCAATTTTCAAAGAGCCTGATGGAAAACCAATCTTGTTTCCCAGCAGTCAGATCCTTCCTTTTCAACCTGCACTGGGAGAAGGAAATGGAGAGTTGTCTGGTTACTAACAAGAACTTTTCTCCTTCAGACAATTTGAGGGTATAAATAAGGCCAACCTTGGACTGCACATTTCAACTCCTGTATTTCATCATGGACTTCACAACACACTGGCATTCATCACTTCCATTAGCTAAAGAAAGTGGACCCTGAATTTTTCATGTTTATTCAGTTCTCACAGCAAAACATGAACATAATCACACAACAGAGACTGGAATTACATATATGACCATCTATGTACATCTTCTGGATGATCCAATGCTACCTAGGACCTTTTTACTTTCTTCCCTTATTTCACACTGCCGTTCTTCTGATAATTGTAATTTAATAAAAAAAAACATATTTCTGTAAACTATAGCTGTGTGAAGGTAACATGTTCAATAGGTTGTAGTTGAACCAACAATAGAACATCTTCCAAGATTCCAAAACTTCTAGACATCATATGGGCAACAGATTTTAGAAAAGCACATTGACTTCAGAAGGAAAATATTCTGCCTTGGATACACAAAAACCAGGATCTGATCTTATAAAATAATTCCACTATTGAAAAATGAGGCACCTTTAACTTAAATATAATTAATGAATGCTTTAGACTTACTTTCCTTGCAACGGGAAAGAAGCTAACGTGAACATTAGCAGCTTTCCAATACCCAACCCAATTGTACTAGGCTGGGCAACATACAATGGATGGATGTAGAGAACAGTAGGCCATGACAATCAGGTTCCAGTTTCCTCTCTTATGATTTAAACATGAAACTCATTGGATGTGATGACAATCCACCTAGTCATTGCACTGCTCTACAACATCCATATCATCCAGGAACAGTTAGAGCCTCAGCTGCATGATGCAAGTATATATATTTCTTTTCCTGGTTCAGTCTTGCTCATCTTTGATGTGTTGAGAATTGGCCATATACCTGACAAATCAAATAGAGGCACAGGCTTAGGTAAATTGTACATATACACCATACATAGGGGGTTCTTCATTAATATACTAGCATTGCAAGAAAGCTTTATTTTACAATAGCAACAGATATAGCCTACTGTTGTTTACTGTTGTTTAAACGGTATATAGGCCAGTGTGGAAGAATACCAGGAAATTGCATACACGAGATATTAGACAATGTGTGAGATATGTGCAGGTTATTAGGTGGAAGACGTAGGGCTTAACCTTCATCCAATTCCTCTCAGCCCCGGTGGATCTCCTGCAACCGCTCTGCTGCCTTCCTCAGCTCTTCCTCAACCGCCTGGATATCCCGCTCCTTAAAGGCAAGATAATACAAGTGCATCAAAATTAATTGTAAAAGCTGCCATAGACTTTAATAGGGCCTTAATTTATAACAAAGGGCAGATATCACTATCCACTCTGCACCGGACACCCCACCTGTGCCTACATCAATCATAAAATGAGGGCTCTGGTGTAGAGCCTGTGTTGTCTCTCACTGCCATTTCAACTACCACACCTGGTAAACAGTCTCTGAAAGCGCACATAACAATACCAAGTAACAAAGCCTTGTACATATTTAAATTCAAGTACGGCTAAGGTTGTACTTTAGGAGGGTCCTTAGCTGTACATTAGGGGTAACCTCTGACGTTTCACTAAGGCCTCATAGAACTTTCCCTTTACATCAGCTAAATATATTGCAGGCACATCGACACAAAAGGTGCACCAAGTCTTACACTTCTTTAAAAAACAGCCACAGTCTGCAGCCAAATTGACCCTAGCAAGCAATTGGAAAAAACAACTCCTTCCTTACCACGAATTCACTCTGGGACTGGACAATATTATGATCAATGAAAGATTATCTAGTATTCTAACAGACACCCATACCAAGTTTTTAAAGGTTTGGGATAGAGGTGCACCGAAATTAAAATTTCAGAAACGAAACCGAAATAAAAAGAATTTTCAGGCCGAAACCAAAAATGTTTTTTATTTGATTTGTTTAAATATTTTATTTTTTATAAACTTTTGCATTTTTTTATATTTATTAATTCATTTTTTATTAAATATTTTCATTTTTTGCTTTACTTTTAGGGGCTTAAGGGAAATATTAGGGGTTTAGACCCCTGATATTTCCCTTTTAAAATAGAAAAAGAGATTGGGGACACAAAGTTCTCAATCTCTTTTTCTGCAGTCCCAGTTATCAATGAACAGGAATCCTATATAATGAGTGTTCCTGTTCATTCATAACATGAGAGCAGAGTGTGTTTACTATAACCACAATAATGAATGAACAGGAGGTGATGTAGATCACTTCTCATTCATTCATAATTGAGGATATAGTCAACATGCTAGGGCCTTAATTATTTACAAACACTCAGCGATCACTCCGCCCCCACACCGCTCTGCCGGACTGTGATAGCGGTGTGGGAGGAGAGACACCGGCCGCTCACAGCGCTCTCCTCCCGCGGAACTCGCACGGCTGCAACACTTTCTCTCATCCCCGCTGGGAAACAGAGCTGCGCCCAGCGGGGAGGAAAGAACGCACGGATGTGCCGATGTATCGACAGAAAAATGCCACTTTCGGCATTTAGCCAAAAGTGCAAATTTTGGCCGATTTGTTTCAGCGGCCGATATATTGGTGCATCCCTAGTTTGGGTGCCTTGGATCTTTTATCAACACCATGAACTAGGTGTGGAAACTCTTAGACATCTATAAGAGGCTCCTTGGGTGACGAGACTGGATACGGATCTACTGAACCGATCTTACATTGAAACCGGTAATTTCCTACACCGATGGATTTAATATCTGCTTCTTCCCTTTCTTTTTCTATCCCCTCCTCCTCTTTCTTCTCCAGTTTACTTTCTGTCTACCATAAGATATCAACATAGTGCCTGTAACCAATTTACGCTTTATTGTTCATATTTTTAGCGTGAATGATATAATTACTGAACCCTATGTGAAATGTCTTGTCTATTTTATGAAAAACCAATAAACATTTTGTTACAAAAAAAACAGCCACAGCCTGAGTAGAAGAGCCTGGCCCCTGCCAGCATGCTGCAGGGAAGAAACCCTGCACACTTTGTGGAACAGTCCTCTCTCCAGAGGCCTGATACAATCAGCAAATCTCACACTCCCTGCTAATTGAAGAGTTCTAGCTCTGACTCAGCAAGGGATGTGTTTCCACCCAGAGAGAGGGGTCTTACTCTGCAGCACGCTGGCAGCTCTGGCTGTGGATGCTTTCTAAAGAGAACAAACTGTAAGACTTTGATGCACCTAGAATGTATTTAGGTAATATAATGGAAGGTTGATTTGGGCCTAAAACTGAATATTCAACTAGGCAGAAAATATGCATCTTTTATAAGAAAGCCTGAAAAAAAGACTTAATATTAGGATTCTCTATATTCTTACTCTATTGTAGCTGGTTCATTTTAAAGCCCAATTCAATTTTCAGTTTAAATTAGCTAAATACATACATTGCTGATGGCAGCAGAGTTATAGGTCTGGCACAGTACGGGGTGTGTCGGACCTCTGCAGAGAGAACTCAGCTTTGTAAGGGTCCCACTGTGCAGCTGCTGGCAGGGCACACGCTTTCCTACTCAGGCTGTGACTGCTTTGGAAAAAGAACAAATAGTAAGATATTGCACACCTTTTGTTCTCGTGCACAACACATTTAGCTGATTTAAACTGAAGGGTGAATTGAGCCTCAGGCCTCATTTACACAAGAAACGGCTGGCACGTACAGCTCCGTGCTGCGTGCATGGCCGTATCGGGCAGCTCCCGGGAAGGACAGGTGCTGCGTGTGATTAGTATGCAGCCCCTGTCCTTCTCTATGGGACTACGCGGCCGTATGCCGCCCTACGTTCACCCCAAGTTCCGGTCCATACAGGTGCGGGTGTCCCGGCTCGGACGCAGACAGGATCCATCCTGTCAGTGTACGAGTACGTGCATCCGTGCGGATGTGCAGGGCGGGTGAGCGCAGGGCAGCGTACGGCCACGTAGTCCCATAGAGAAGGACCGGGGCTGCGTACTAATCACACGCAGCACCTGTCCTTCTCGGGAGCTGCCTGATATGGCTGTGCACGCAGCACATAGCTGTACTTGCCGGCCGTTTCTCGTGTGAATGAGGCCTTAAAGAAAAATTGTCAGAAACAAAGAGTCTGCCATTGTTGGTTTTGTACTAAAAAATGCTTCATGGATTGCAATGTCCCACATAATGGCTGCTTTAACTTTGTTCAAGTAATAGGTGAACTTGATTTTATAGGGACAGGCGCAGAATTGTAGATTAATAAGCACTGGCAGAGCACAGTGTTTGTGATAAGAACATTTATTGCTGCTGATGTTTTATGCATTTACTAAAGTCCAATGGACTCCCTAAAGGACAGCCATAAAATCTGGCAAAAACAAAAACATGCATTAAAACAAGGATATTGTCAATCCTGCAATAAATCTAAAACATGCCAAAAGTGCAGATCATATACAGAGGAGTAGCATGCACTTTGGTACGTTTCAATACAAATTTATCACTGGGACATAAAACCTCAGATAAACCATTTACACAGTGCAATCACTGATAACTACCCTGCCCCATTTAATTCTATCAGTGACAGATTAGGGGAAATAGCTTAGGGCCCATGGCTGTGAAGTTGCACGTAGAAGGGACACTTTTTTAGAGAATTCACAGAATATGCTTTAAAGTACAACCAAAGGATCCTGTATAACAGTGTAAACATGTCCGAAATCCACTTACTGTTTAATGCACAATCATAATATAGTAAATAGAAAATTTTCTTTACCTTTTGTGAGTGAAGCAAATCCTCCCTCATTTGTGTCTCACATACCCCCTCACCCCCCCAGGGACTGCCGCCTATAGTGGAAGGCAGTGGGGTAAAAATAGCCATTGCAGCTGTTAAGGCTGCTATGGTGCCTGGGGATACAAGGAGGCCCCACTGGGGCAGCTGATGAGGCAATTTAAACATAGAAAATCATTGTGCACGTAAAGATAACATATATCGGTCACTGTATCATTAAGGATTGCAGAGGTTTCTGTTGACAATAACTTTGCACACCCTGCCACATTTTCGGTAAAAAGAAAAAAATGTATATATTGCAGCTGACCAGTCCTCAGATATGGTGGCTGCATTAGTTTTCTTTCTTTTTGAGGCCAAGTCGAGTTTATGCAAGTACAGAAAATACCTGTAGATCCTGCCAGAAATCCGATGCCCTTGTAACTATCTGTGCATTGAACTGAAATCTGAAACAATGTTATCAGGCCTCCTCTCTCTCTCCATTCTGTGAACTACAAAACATCTTACCCCTTGCAATAAAGATGAGGAGAGGGTGAGATAATGGTAATCCAAATCTGAAAAAGCAACCTAACGATAACAACACTGCTCCTGCATGGATGCAGTACAGTGAGTGTTGTCACCCTACAACAGCGTGTTTGTTATTAGCAGGTTTACAAGGTAAAAAAGGAAACTAATGCAGCCACAATATCTAAGAACCGGCAATATATAACAATTTTGTGATATGAGAGCAAAGCAGCCTCCACATTCTTCAAAGCAAAGTCTTACTTTGCCCAACTACTGGCAAAATCAACCCCCCCATCCTCATCATTTAAATGACAAGAATCTACTTTGCCCAGGCAGCAACATGGGCACAGAAGAATGGCCCTCCCACTCAGCATCTCAGGAGATAGAAACTTGGGACCTGTCACGTCATGTGACCATGGATTCAAGTATTTGTGGCTTAAGTGTATTTTTAAAATAAGTAATTTGGTGATTAGCTGGGGGGTTACCTGGAGGAACCTGGCTGGAGATAAGCTTTAAATACACTCCACCCACTATTTTTGTGTTATCACTCTCTCACCTCAGCTCTATGCTCCTCTCTTTCTTCCATCTCCTCCAGCTCCCTCTCTTCTTCCTCTTCTCTTTGTTCATGGATTCCAGGTCTGCCATTGTGATGATATCTCTCCCCTGCAATTTCATCTTCATCTTGCCCGTAGTAGTTCCTTTCTCTGTCTATGTCTCCTTCTTCTGCATGGTGAATGTGTCTCTTCTCTTCCCCATGATAACCATGCATGTGGGCCTTGGCGTTGAAATATTTCATGCCTTTGTCTTCAGTCTCAAACTGGGCTGTTTCTTCTTGGCTGGGGTCCTCTGCCATCCTCCTCTGGGATGCTCTTTTTCTTTTTTCCCATTCTTCATGGTTCCTGTGGTACCACCCTTTGTTGTTCTCATGGTTTCCTCTACCATGATCTTCCTCTGAGCTGTCTTCATCACTCTCATCACTAAATTGTTTCTTCTCCTTATCATTTCTCTTGGTGGCTGCAGCATCCTTGGCTACATTCCCAGCTCTTTTACCTTCACTTTCATCTCTCTTTACGGCAGGACTTCTTTTGTCCTCCTCTTCCTCCAGCAGCTCTTGGGCTTTCTCCTCAGCTGATGCTCCATGCTCTTTCTGTTTAACCTCAACTTTTTCAATCTTCTCAAACTCTTTTGACTCTTCATTATGTGACCCCCTTTTTGATTGTGCATCTCTCTTAGGGGCAGATACGGGACTCTCATCGGTTCTTTTTCTAAGCTCTTCCTCTTCACTGCTTTCATGTTCTTCGTGCTGCTGTGACTTTCCTAAAGGTGTCAGAAACACAAGACAAGCAAAGGCAAGTGATGTTAGGTGTCAGAGTCAAGGTCATGGCATGATGCCAACACCCATTACTGTACCGTATAATTACATTTCATTGTCTATGCAAGTGAAACAAAATCTGAAATACTCTAAAATTTTGTATTTTTTAGATGAAGGATGGGTAGAAAGAATATTTATTTGAGCCTGTTAACATATCTGTGCTCGTCTTCAAATTTGTTTCTTTGTGCCAAGTGAGGATTCTCTGCACTATCTGTATACAGGGATAAATCATGTCTTGTCCAAGGATCCAGGGTTTTTCCCAGCTCAAAACTGATTTTAGGTTGAAATCGATGGACATGTGTCATTTTTCAACCTAACTATGTAACTATGTAAGGCAAGTACAGATACTTGAACGAACTACAAGGTGCCTGTGGTTTACCAATAATATTGTGTACATCTTGGTGTATGTATTAGGTTCACGTTAACATGAAGTACAATGCAGCCAATTATATAACATCATAGTTATGAACAGAGAAGCCAGAAGTGTTGCAAAGAGTATAAATAATATGTAAGCATGGTGAAGAGATTGGTACTACTGCTAGGGGTAAATAATACATAGCGGTAGTAAACAAAACATTCTTATAAGTGAATATATAACATGAATAAATCTGCTTCGATGAACTGAGGTCTTGCCTGTTGCTCTGAAATAACTTTCATAATTGCTAGTCCTAAAGTACTTCAACAGTTCCAAGACGGACTGCAGTAAAGACGTTGTGCCCAAAAGCAGTGATAGTAAATATTAAGTGTGATCCCTGGACAGTGCTGGCACATGGAGGTGCTGATGACCTTGCTCTAATTACATTTATGGGGCAACAGTGGTTACCAATAGCAATTACAACTCAAAGTTGTTAAAATGTATCTCTGGTTTCAAAAAGGATAAGGAAGGCTCAGAGTCACTGTTAGCTTTTTCTTGCAGTTTTTATTCTGGTTGAAGGGAATATCCTTCATTTCCTAACTTGATGACCATTGTCACAAGGACAGAAAATGGGGGGAATCTCCACAGCTGAAAGAAGCTTGAACCCTTTCCAGCTAAAATAAAATGTTTTTTTTTACTGTATGTGTTTCTTTTGGACAAATGTCAACTCACTTTGTCTAAGTGAGTGAAAATCTCCCCAATGCAGAAACAGATAACAATATAAACCTGACAGAGTTTTTAGTATTTCTTTACATTATCCAAAACAAAAACAGTTTTCGTTTGAGTTCTACTCCAGTGTTAAAGCTTGGACTTTTATATTCTTTTATATAGCAAGGCAATAAGGGAATAGGCATAGGCAAATTCTGCCCCTTGATTGGGCAATATCACCATGAACACGGGACATGGTTTTTGACAGAGGCCACTGGGATGGTGGTGGCCAGAAAAGATGCTGAGTGATCAAAAGAGCTGGCTGACAGTGTGTTAGCTTGCCTTGAAGAATTCTTCTATAAGGATGATTTAGTGTCACCCTGCATCTACATAAGCTGTGAATGGCTGGTTTACGCCTAGAGTAAAAAAATTCTAAGTACTAACAATAACATACAAAGTCATCTATGACTCTACCCCAACCGACATCACCCACCTTAACTCAAAATATCACCCAAACCGCCGTCTTTGCTCCTCCCAAGACCTCCCACTCCTTACCCCAATCGGTCTGCTTATCTCCTACTCCACCTGTCCACCTCTGTTCAAGGCGATCCTCGAAAGCTCATCTCTTTATGGAAGCCTATTCCATCTCGATATAACCATCTTTTTACTTCTTCCATCAAATCATCCCACACAGTTATTACCTTTTGTATCACTTGCCCTTCCTACTAGATTGTAAGCTCTTACAAGCAGGGCCCTCATGTATTGAAATTGTATTGACTCCCTCCATTTTGTAAAGCACTGTGCAAACTCTTGGCATTATATACATTTTATGTTATAATAATAATGTGCCAAATTTCTTCTCCCCTGATGAGCAGAAAACAGACTTACATCTGTCACTTATGATATCCTGCAGTAGCCCTACAGACAACATCCTGCAGCTGTGCTTTCATAATTCAAAAGACAATATGCCTCTATGTTACTAAGAGGATTTCTTGGCTGATACCTGGTGACAATAATCACATAAACTATATACTTGTTGTCATGTCCCGTGTCTACTGTGTATTGCCAAGGGCTGAGGCTGTCCCCAACTGCTTGAATCTATCTGGGCATTACAGCCCCATAGACGCCTCAGTCATCAAGATATTATTATTATAATTATACAGGATTTATATAGTGCCAACAGTTTGAGCAGCGCTTTACAAATTTGAGGGAGACAATACAATTAACAATACAATTTCAGTACAGGAGGTAGGAGGGCTCTGCTCGTGAGAGCTTACAATCTAGTAGGAGGGGCAAGTGACACAAAAGGTAATAATTGTTTGGGATGATTTAATGGAAGAGCTGAAAGTACTGTTATATTGAGGTGGAATAGGCTTCCCTAAAGAGATGAGTTTTCAAGGATTGCCTAAAAGTGGACAGATTGGGGTAGGGAGTTCCAGAGAATGGGGGATACTCTGGAAAAGTCCTGAGGGCGAGCAAAAGATATGCCTTCCAAAGCTGTTCAGTTTACCTCGATGGCTCAGGTCCTCTAGTTCTCTCAGGAGATGTTGATGACGCAGAACGGAGATCAATCTTTCATCTGAAAAACCCAAATGTTGTAATGTAAAGCAGATAGATATAAGTAAATTCTTTGTTTGGTCTCCGTTGCGGTGTCTCGGATGATCTGTACAGCCGTGTAGCTTTGTTTTGCCAGCTGTCCTTTCTAGAACAAGTGTAAATAAAACTGGTGACCACAGACATGGGCTGATGTCAGACCAGTACAGGATGGATTTTGATTGGTTGCTATAGGGCACTGCATGAGAATTAGCACTTAGACCCCTTTTAGAATAAAGAAACACCGCAAATATTTTGGCCCACACCGATTACTCATGGTGGACCCTGCTCTTCGTGCTTTAATAAGTAGGACCCTCTCTGTAACCAAAACTAACATCCTGCTCCATGAGTATATTCTCAAGACAACATCTGTTCTCAAAGACTGCTATTTTTCCATTCACAGAGCGATATAATGTCATGGTAATAGGACCCAGGTATACTGGATTCTGCAGAAAGTCAATGAACAATGGCAAAGTGTGAGAACCCATTACAATAAATAAGCAATCATTTGTCTTTGTTTCAACAGCTTCAAAACTAATTGGTTGTTATGGGTTACTCGTGACCATTGCTCTTCTTGATAGGTCAATATGGTGATATTTTAGTTATAGGAGGAGCATGGTGGGCTGAATCAGCCCCTGGCTTCTTGTATGGTTGGGTACTCCAGAGGTGAGAACTCTGACAAAATGACGTTCACCTGGCAGTTTTGGGGATTCTCATTTTTCTGTGTTTTTAGCATTCTACCTTGCACTTTCCATAACAGAAACAAAAACTCATCCGGGAGAATGGGAGCCCTTCATAATGGTCACAGTAGGTATGCAGACTAAGGAACATAGGCATCTCTCCAATAGAAGAACCTAAACATGCCAGGTGGTTTACCTCCTCAGTATCTACAAAAACTGAAATATCAGCTTTGGGTGCACCCACGCTTTACATAAGTCCAGAAGCCAGACTGCAAAGATATGATGAGACATTGAAAAAGAGTTTCAGAAGGAAGAGCACTTGATATACACAGCAAACAAATCAGATTCTTCCTTTCATGAGTCTTAGGCAATATGGGAAGATAAAGGCAGAATCTGATTGGTTGATAAAAGCAACATAAATCATAAAAGGTCTATTTATCAATGTTTTCACCCAAGATTCACACATAAGATCGACACAGTTTCTAATTAAATCTAAGGTGAAAAAAAAAATGTTTGCATTCTCGGTGAAAGTTGTGTGAATCTTGAATTAAAATATTATTAAACATATAATTTACATATTGTAACCGCAGCATGGCGAGTGACTAGATGTGGAAAGTAATAAGAGACACAACCTTCTCTGAGTAGTCGGATACAGCCACCGCTGACCCTCTCGGACCCCTGTGTGGACAGCGACTCGGAAAGGACCTCCATGATACATCTTGTGACCTACAAATACAGGGGTATGTTATTCTCCATCCAGAAGATATCAATAGACCATTTTACCAGTTTACATCAGTCTGATCAGTCAGACACTACAAAGCCAATCAACCACACCTCTCCCTAAATTACTCCATAGGCTCTCCACAAACCAATCTCAAGATTAGTTCTCTAATTTGTATTGAGATTGTAGTCCATCACAGGAGTGAGCTTGGAGTGGTGACTACTATACAACACACACAGGGACCATGGGGAACAAAAGTAGCCACCATTCAGAAGGAAGGACAGTGTCTGCACCAATTCAGAGATGATTTGAGGATCTACAGATGAGTGATACACAAATAAGATACATTTCTGTTATAGTTTAGGTACTTGAAGGTATATTTAAGATATAACTCCGGAGTTTAGTGTCACTTTATTGATGACTTTTGAGCATCTTCAGAACAGAGCTGTTACTATTTCTATGATATACATTGTAAATAAACAATTTGCTGATAGTATGCACCTTCGTCATGTCATGTGCTGTTTTAAACATCGGTTCTAGGCAACATCTGAAACTAGGTTGCTGATAATGCTACCTAGCACACACTGCAACTCGGCCAAAGGCAGAAACGTTCACTCTACTCTGAGCTCTATATAATCGTGCAGCAAGAATCCAGACATTTTTCATCCAGAGATGATTTGAGGATCTACAGCCGAGTGATACACAAATAAGATACATTTTTGTTAATAGTTCAGGTTCTTGAACGTATTTTTAAGATTTAACTCCCGAGTTTAGTGTTACTTGGTTTAATGAGACATTTTTCTTACGTGTCTCAATGGCACTCTTTTTGAATTCCCTGATTAAAGTGACATTAAAGTAAAAAAAATGTTTTCCCTCCACCCAATGCTAATTAAGGCACTTACCTTAAATGATGTTTCTTAATCCGATCTTCTTTCCTGTCCTTTTCATCTGTCCCGCCAGCGCTGCGGTAGGTCTCCGATCCAGCGCTGACTCCTCTGTGCTTGCTGGCACTTCCTGTCTCATGGTGTCTGCATGCGGATGCACGCTGTCCATAGACTTACCTTGTGTCTCTCCTCGCGTCCTGGCCGAAAATGTGAACTGCGCATGCGCCCGCCCCAAGGTGCTTTGCGAGAATTTTCACATTTTCGGACGGGAGAAGACACAGGTAAGTATTAACCCTTTTCAAAGCGTTTTTTTTTTACACCTTTTGCATATATCTACTGCTTGTTAGCAGTAGATATATGCAAAAAAAAAAACGGAGGGTTTAATAACCCTTTAACCTCTAGTACTGGCAGCAGTTGTTCACTTTTAGAATTTTTCCTTGCATTTACTTTACATTTATTTTCTTTAGTAATATAGGAAAAAACATTTCCAAATTACTTAATGGAGTTCATAGAACCACTTAAGCTGGCCATACACCTATAGATTATCTGCAGAGTTTCTAGGGTCAGATGGAAAAAATGCAACAGATTCACCATCTACGCTAAACTGTGTGGGTGGAGGAATCTCCCACTGGGCCAAGCTTCAGTATGTTGCTAGTCGGCCCCGCTGGCTCTCAAAATACCTGAACAATCTGATTGGATGCAGGCATTGTTCAGGATTTTGAGAGCCAGCGGGGCCGACTAGCAAGACACTGAAGCTTGGCCCAGTGGGAGATTCCTCCATCCACACAGTTTAGCATAGATGGAGGAAGCTGTTGCACTTTTTAATAAATCAACACTGTAATATATCAAATTAAAAAATTCTGATGCACCAAATTATCAACTAGAAAACAGTACCAAAAACAACTCTTTCAGGAAATCATTGGAAGACTTGAAGGAAACACACAGATACAGTAAGAGCATACAAATAGGTGGTGTCCTTTGGGAACTGATCCCAGGATGCCAGTTCTGCAATGTGCTATACAGCCACCGTGCTGCACTTGTACAACACACAGCCCAGCACGGCTTCACAATCTGTTTTCAAGATAACAGAAGGACATTTGTATTCAGAACAAGACCTCTCACCTTCTCTTCTTCCTCGGAAAGCTGGTTGGACAGGGGCATGGAGGAAACTAAAGAGAAGAGGGAGAATTATGGGAAGGCAGAACACTGATACATAACACACACACACACATATACACTGAGTGGCCAGATTATTATGATCACCCCATCAGTACTTCGTTGGGCCACGAGATGACTTCGTTGGGCCGCCTTGTGACTCCACGAGATGTTGAAAGGTGATGCGAGGAATCTGACACGGCACTGTTGTCCATTTGTTGTCTTGTGCCAGTCTTGCCACTCTCCGTTCTGCCCTAACATTGACTAGTCGCTGACGGCCACAATTCGCACGTTCAGACCCAGATTTTCGTCTGACAGTCCAGTCTTTAAACACTTTAACAACAGCTGCTCTTGAACATTTAACAAATTCTGCTGTTTTGCTGATACTCGCTCCATGGCTCCGAGCGCCAACAATCATCCCACGTTTAAAGGCTGTTAAATCGCGTTGTTTACCCGTATCTTCAGAAACAAATCACTTCTACTGTCGTGGTAAACAACCTGCTTCCCTATTTATAATGGTCTGGCTCTCTAGCAGCTTCAGCGCGAAATTATAGCTAATTTGCCTACAAATGTCAGGTTGTCATAATAAACTGGCCACTCAGTGTATATATTACACAGGCAGCTATACATTCACAGTGATAGTCAGTCAACTTCGTAATTTCATAATTGTCTGTCAAAACAATTGGTGGGTCGGAGGGTGCTGGTGGTCCAATGTGCCAATCTCTTTACACTTCTATAGCCTCAAGGATCCTGATCCTCCTAATAATTTAGAAACAGCTATGGCTTTTTCTATACTTATTCTGCACTATTCTGGAATTGCTGTTTAGTAAATGAGCAACCTATGCTCACATCAGGGCGATGATGGTTTATACCGAGACTCATTTAAATGGTAAGTCAACCTGAAGAACCAGAATTCACTTAAAATTGGTCTGATTTCAGTAAACAGAAGTCTGCTCGGCTGCTATGGGTACTTAACTTGCTCTTTCTTGTTTTTGCCTTGCAAATAAGTTAGATCATAGCAGTGTCTATCTCCAACATGTTACCTTCTACTCAAGCAGATCTAGCTAAAAGACACCTGTGCTGAGTGACAAACGTTCAAATTAGCCACCTGCAGGAGTGCTATATTGGCAGGATAGCACCCTTAAAGAAATGCTGTCCTAGGATTAAAGGGTTTCGTTGAGAGAGAAGACAAGTCACAGGTATCTGGTTCCTGGAATGGTTTTATTTGTGGTCAGCAGATTATCTTCCAAGATATCTGAACATAAGAGGCCCATCATCTGCGTGATAACATACATATACAAATTCCTAATCAGCGATGAGACTTGTGAAATGACCATGCACGTCTTTCCTGCCTTATCCCAGATGAAGAATATATTTACCGTATACATTTAATTAATATTGTTGCTGGAAGAATCTCGCCTAATAAAGCATATTAGTGAACCCTCTCTGAGGCTGCAGTGCTTACCTTGAATGCAGACAGCTGCCAGCAATAAACATTTCACAAGACCCATCCTGGATGTGCAGAGAGCCTGCAGGCTGTGATGACAGGAAGGATGCAGAGAGCCTGAGCCTTAGGCTGGACCAGAGTTTGCTCACTGTCTATTGCTGCAGATTATATAGCTGGCACAGGCAGTGTGATCATGTGACCCCCCCCCCCTCCTTCTGCTGCAGGTGACTGGGTCCCACTGATCAGCAGTCTGTGTTCACCTGTATGGACAGCCCCTCTCTCCTGCAGATGGTTGTGTACAGCACAGTTCAGCAGTGTCATCCTAATCCCCACTTCACTCCCCTCTTGGAACATCTCTGTATGCATTGCATATCAATGATCAGCTCTCTTTGCTGGGTCTCAGTCCCTCCTCAGCACCATATCACACAGCCGATGCGGCTCTAGCAGTTTGACTGCTACAAACCTGCAGCAAACAGTTCCATGTAGTGAGATCTGGAGACACGGTGAGAAAATCCCACCATTTGTAAATGCCTGCAAGTGAAGTATTTATAGTGTTCTCCTGGACAGTGCACCGACCTAGAGTTCCAACCTAAGAAACAAGTCATTTCGAGTTGATCATTCATTCATTTATCTAACATTTAATAAATTGAAAGCTGAGCTCTGGGCACAAAAACATGTTATTGAATGCATTACTTAATAGCCACATTGGATATAAATGCACTTGACGCGCATCAAATGTTTTGCAGTCCCGGTTATTGCCTTGTAAAAGTAGCGGTGACACCATCACTGTGCTGTGCATAGTGGCTCCACTGCAGGCTCCACCCAAGGAGAGAGAGAGCAGCAGTGACCGGTCTTTATTATAGGAGAGGGTGGAGACCAGACCAGTCACCCTGCACAAGGAGAGAGAGAGCAGCAGTGACCAGTCTTTATTATAGGAGAGGGTGGAGACCAGACCAGTCACCCTGCACAAGGAGAGAGAGCAGCAGTGACTGGTCTTTATTACAGGAGGGGGAGGAGACAAGACCAGTCACCCTGCACAAGGAGAGAGAGCAGCAGTGACTGGTCTTTATTACAGGAAGCTCCTGCACAGAGTTGCACACTGGATTACGCTATTACAAAAGGTAATATGCATGGAGGCGGTACTGATAAGAAACTAACATGGTATTATAAACTATAATAGAGACAAGACTTGTGCTAATGTGAACTTCTAAAACGTCATCCCGGATATCAAAAGTATGTCGTATACAACTGTTAGATATAAAATAAGGGAGTAGATACAAAGTAGTTCAAGATAAAAGAGCTAAATGAACACTGAAGTTCGATAATCCCTGTGAAAGTCATAGACTGCTTTGTTTTCTCAGGAGCCCAAGATGGGGTGAGGCCAGGTACAGGAAATAAAGCCACCAAAGTCCCTAGAGTGTATATATAATGCATATTTGTTTAAGTCCATTGAATCCTGAGCCTTGCTGGGCAGCACAGGGAGGTTGGTGACCTCACCTTTCTCTGTCTCACCTATACAATACAGCTTGGTCGTGTTGCATTACTATTTGTGTCAGAAGACACTACAGCATCACAATACCAATTGTGACAACACATTATTATTATACAGGATTTACTGTATATAGTGCCAACAGTTTGCGCAGCACTTTACAACACATTATAAATCTAAGGCATCTGCATATTGACTGCGACCTCAGCATAATGACTGACAGTACAGTACTAACTACGTAACAGTAATGTATATGATTATTATAATTGTGACTGATATAACACTATGAGGTGTTGCTATGTCTTTGGGCATAGTTGAGCCGCTTAGCCTTCTTTCCAGGTGGGAGGTATGGCTTTTTGGTTACAAGGCCGTAAAAAAAAAAAGACAGCAGCAGGTGCTCTGGACTGATGAGTGTAAATATGAAATATTTGGCTGTAGCAGGAGGCAGTTTGTTTGCTGAAGGGCTGGAGAGCAGTACAATAATAAGTGTCTGCAGTGAAGCATGGTGGAGGTTCCCTGCAAGTCTGGGGTTGCATTTCTGCCAATGGAGTTGGAGATTTGGTCAGGATCAATGGTGTCCTCAATGCTTTAGAAATACAAGCTATTCTGACTCTGATTGTTGCATTAGCGATGTATCCCTTGCTGAGACATCTATGCCTGGCCTGTATTAGCAGATATACAATAATCACTGCGGACAATCCTTATCAGATCGCTGAACTCATCAATACCTTTTTCAAAATATACTGTAGATGACCACTAGAGGAGGAATCCCCAATTTTGTATATGAAATGCAATGAAGACAATATTAAACAGTAAATGTGTAAACATAACAAAATCACATTAAAAACCGCTTTCAGGTAAAGTTGTCAATAATATTTAGGCAGATCGTGGGCAGCAGCAAAACACTTGATGTGTCCTAGTTACACAATGTGTTCTGTGGAGGGATAAAGCGGATTATAAATGTCAGGGTGTAGCTACAAGGACATGGTGTGGGTTGGAAACATCTGAAATAATAGGCTCATGATAAATTGTAATGTCTGATGTTTGTGGCAGGCATACAGTTAATGCTCAATTAGTCAATGTTCAGTCCTTTGCTGTCTATTGTTCCCATCAGATCTCTGGCAGGTGTCCTCCTCTCTATTGTGTCTGTCTTTGTACTATAAAAATTACTGGCCGCAGGGCTGCTATCTACCACCTGGATGAGGATGGAAAACTGCCCGGGGACACCACAAGCCAAACTGTATTAGAGTGACGCAGGTACAACATCACATTGCTGTATCATATGTGTTGTTTCAGCCGACCTATACTCAAATTAATTTAGGAGCTGATCTATAAGCCAGTTGCACTGCTCTTTGCTGCGAGAATGAGATTTGCTGTGCTGTATGGCCACTAGATGGAGACAAGGAGCACATGAATTTCCTATGATCTTCGGCTCCATCTAGTGGCCATACAGTCCTATGAATCTCATTCGCACAGCTCTTTACTGAGTGAACGCTTTATAAATCAGTAGACATTTTCACGGCCTAAGAATTAATTTCAAACGAAACAAATGAAAAGGGAAAAACCTTTTTGTTTGATGAAACAATTATTATGATGTTTTGGAGGCAACGAACCTCCGAATCCGAAAGCGCACTTTTAAAAAACTGGACGTGCGGCGTCCATATCTCATATCTCTTGTATGACGTCACATGACACCAGTGTTGGGTGATATCATACGCATGGGTGCCACCATCTTGAACGCAGCAAGATGGCGGGGCCCACACAAAATGAGTTGCTATATGGCTGAATTTAGTTTTTCGTATATTTGGGTATATAGTGATTTGTTGTTTCGGATTCGGAAACAAATTCAACAGAATTCCGTGATTCAGCAAGTTCGCCCGAATCCGAATGCACATGTCTATAAATCATCCCCCAAGTCTTATGATCCTTTCTGAAAGGGATGAACAGAGTGAAGATTCTATTCCTGAACTCAGGCATAGCGGAGGGTGGTCACAGACCTTATCTTAAAGCATAGCTACACCCAAGAACAAAAAGTGAGTATATTGCAGATTACCAGTCCTTAGATGTGGTGGCTGCATTCGTTTTCCTTTCCCCTTTACTTTAACAGCGAGATCCTGCCTGTAACACGCTTCCTGTCCTAGGGTGACAACACTGATAAATATTGGTTATGATCCAATTAATTGTTCCTCCAGGCTGGAGTGGTAACATTATCATGAAATGGAGATGATTCTGTTACTGTCAGTGCCAGCACAGGTCTGTACTGGATGTGGAACCCTTCATTGACATCAGCACCTCTCCCTCTGCCCAAAGAGGCTCATTGACAGCATAGTACCTGTGTGTCATGCTTACAAGATCCCCCAGTGCCATGCATCACATCATCCTAAGCTGTCTTGTTTTTTTAATTAATTGGATAGAACACAGCATGATCACGGTTCCTAGCTATAGTTGGCAATTTTATGGTTTATAAAAAAAAAAAAAACAACTCCGGGCCAAAATGTTATTAATCCTTGCAGTGGGGCTTCCCCTGCACTGCAAGGGTTAACTGCTCATTTTCATCTAGGGAGTAAAATAAAAACATTATGCTCACCCGAACTTCGGAGCTGGCCTCTTGTCACAGCGCTCCCCCAGCCTCTCTCCTCCGCTGCAGCAATGCGATTTCCCTCAGCTTCCTATAAACTGTGTATTGCATGAGATGACTCAAGGATCCTCAGACCGCTGCAGCAGAGGGGGAGTGAGGACCGGTCTAAGAACAAGATAACGTAAAAGTTCTTGTTGCACTCCTTACCGGATATCCCAAATGATGGGGAGGGTACTTGGAATGACTGCGGATGGCACCACTGTATACATAGGATGGTTATGAATAGGGATGCCCTGATACTGGTATTTCGGTATCGAGTACCAATATTTTTTTTCCCGATACTCGTCGATACCGAGTACCGGAAGTCCCATTTAGGAAGCCAGGCGGCATGCAATGACTCGCCACCTGGCTTCCTGATTAGCCAGGAAGCGTGTAATGACTCACCACCTGGCTTCCCGATTAGCAGGGAAGCAGTCCCCATGCTTCTCATCGCTAGGTGACGAGAAAGCATGGAGCCGGCTTTCTGGCCAATCAGGAAGCCGGGTGGCGAGATCCTTTTAGAATCACCAAATGCTCATTTTATTGAACAATTTGTCAAAATGGAAACAGGCGCTTTCTGGACCTCGCAGGGTCCCTTCATCAGGCTAGACCAAATCAGTCAATGTTAAAGCCTGATGCTGGGACCCTGCGAGGTCCAGAAAGCGCCTGTTTCCATTTTGACAAATTGTTCAATAAAATGAGCATTTGATGATTCTAAAAGGATCTGCGATGTGCTGGCGACGTTCTTCATAACCCACCGGACTAAGAGCAAGCCGGTACAGAGGATCGGGTGAGTATAGCTGTTATTTTAGTCCCTAGATGAAAACGGTTAACCCTTGCAGTGCCCTGCTGCGAAGGTTAGTAACATTTGTGCCCGGAGTTGTGCTTTAATGCATTTGCCAGGAAAAGGGGGGGGGGTCTTTAATAAGAACTTACTCTCTAAGAACACAAATGTTCCCCCTTTAGGGGAAACAGGATAAATTGAAACCAGAGATCAATGGAAAATATTTGTTGTAAAAAAAAAAAAGGGCTACACAATATAGAAGAGTTACCACTGTGTGATAAACGTGACTCACAGGCCACCAACACTCACCATATACTCGAGCACACAGTTTGAGGAAGTGACTATCTCAGTATTTACGGAACAGGAACTGATAATGATAATCTGTCACAAAGTTTGCTAAAAATCTTTGCAGTGTATATAATGGGCCCACAGAGGATTGGTTTGTTATCAACAAAAGAGACCTTTGTATGAAGGACAAAAACTCAGAGATGTACTTTGCATTGTATTTACACTTTTGCACCCAATTTGGAATAACTCCTACTTTATATTTGTTACATGATCACATATTTTAAAATTCCTGCTTACCTTTTAACTCCAAAACTGAAGCTTTCCACTGCTATGTAATATGTGAAGGGGGCTGGGGAGTTAATGTTTACCATATGCAACTCTGTCTGTACTGTACTGGCAAATCTCATTTTCACTAGATTTGAATGTGATCCGTCCTAAGAGCTAGTTCACACCATAACTGCGTGCACCGAGACAGTATAAGGTACCTTTTAATGGCAGCATCATGGGTCTATTAGACACCGGATGCTGCCTCTGCCTACAGCCAGTGCAGATCGGGGACATGGAGACCCCAATCTGCTGGTTACCTCGCTGCTACTATGGGATTTTGACAGCTCTAATTCCCAAAAATGCTCAGCATCAGGAACCCCCTATACAGCAGTCCTGAGCTTAATGAGGAGCAAGGCAAGCCCAGGGACCAAGAGGAGGGCGAAGGAGTGCATTGTGCCAAGCCTGGGTATAGAAGTAATTGTGTGGCTTTCCAGCAACCTTGATCATTTTTTGAGTTGTAGGTGCGGCATGATTAAAAAGAGAATAAAAGCTGCAAGTCCGTTTTCATCCTTTGTCCCATCTTAACTGTTTGCGACAGTGAAAGGGTTAATCACATTGATCATTTGAACAATGTCCACTCAGAGCGGTGAAAGCAAATCAAGCCACTGGGTTGCCAAACAGCACTATGCAGCCCACCTCTGGAGATCACCTCTGGAAAGTGCTGCAACTGCAAACACAGGACTCACAGTCCCCCTGGCGTGGCGAATTGCCCAGCTGGATGTTAAACTGCATTTGGAAGGGGAGGGGGGGATATACCTTTAAAAGCAGGAGCCCTTCCTAAGGGCAGACATTACAAGCTATGTAGCTATAACCTTTATGATAGGCTCTGCTGTTTCTGTTCTCTGATTACATTTCACTTGGACCTGATTTTCACTGGTTTCATGGCTAATCCTCACCCACTGCTGTGCTGCCATCCGATAAAGTGCTGAAGTGCCCTAGTATACCCCGTATTCATCTGCTGAAGTGGGATCCCCTGCAGCTGACCTATTTTCATAGCAGAAGACACCCTGACGGCAGACTCCTTACTGCAGGGCTTGACACACACACCTCGCACTGTTGTTGTACCAATCTGAAGGCCACATGAAGTTTGGAGGTCTGTAGCTATTGACTCTGCAGACAGTTGGCGACTTCTGCGTACTGTGCGCCTCAGCATGAGCTGACCCCGCTCTGTCATTTTACATGCCCTGAATTGCTGTTGTTCCCAGTTGCTTCCACTTTGTTCTAATGCCACTAACAGTTGACCGTGGAATATTTAGTAGCAAGGAAATTTCACAGAACACCTGATTTGGAGGGGTATATTTTTGGCAATTTAGTGTGTATACAGACACTGTATAAACGATTGCACTGAAGTTAATACAAAGGTTCATCTAAACAAAAACAAAAGGTTAATCTGTGCTCCTCTCCCAAAATGCATTTCCTAGACCTGGGAGTGAGAACTACCTCCCTCTCCCACAGCACAAATATTCAGCGGGTCCTACTCTCCTCCACCATTGAGGGCACCTGATGATCATTAGGTGCCTCACATGACTGGAGTCTTCAGTCATGTGACTGACAACTCCAGTCACAAGCCCCGCTGCTCACCACGGTGAGCATGCTCCTCTTCAGCAGTTTGAAATGACCTCCCTGGGCCACACTTAAACCTAGTAAATTGATTGTATTTCTTGAGACCGGTGCCCTTTGTTTCTTCTTTCTTGATATATTACAGTGTCTTTGCTAAAAAAAAAAAAAAAAAAAAAAAAAAAAAAAAAAAAAAAGAAGAAGAAGGTTCCTCATGGCCGACTGCAAGATTAAAACCCGCTTTTGATGTCTAATTCTGATCAACAAAAAGAAAGGGAGCTGCACAGCACAGAAGAATCCACCGACATTATTTGAAGACCTGTCTGGATTCTTGCTGCACGATTATATAGAGCTCAGAGTAGAGTGAACGTTTCTGCCTTTGGCCGAGTTGCAGTGTGTGCTAGGTAGCATTATCAGCAACCTAGTTTCAGATGTTGCCTAGAACCGATGTTTAAAACAGCACATGACATGACGAAGGTGCATACTATCAGCAAATTGTTTATTTACAATGTATATCATAGAAATAGTAACAGCTCTGTTCTGAAGATGCTCAAAAGTCATCAAGAAAGTGACACTGAACTCCGGAGTTATATCTTAAAAATACATTCAAGTACCTAAACTATAACAGAAATGTATCTTATTTGTGTATCACTCATCTGTAGATCCTCAAATCATCTCTGAATTGGTGCCGACACTGTCCTTCCTTCTGGATGTTTGTTCCCCATGGTCCCTGTATGTGTTGTAGTCACCGCTCCAAGCTTGCTTCCTGTGATGGACTACAAGGTCATGTTTAGTTTGCAAATTTGTACTGAGATTGTAGTCCATCGCAGGAGTGAGCTTGGAGTGGTGACTACTTTACAAAACTCACAGGGACCATGGGGAACAAAAGTAGCCACCCTCCAGAAGGAAGGACAGTGTCAGCACCGATTCAGAGATGATTGGAGGATCCACAGCCGAGTGATACACAAATAAGATACATTTCTGTTATTAGTTAAAGTACTTGAATTATTTTTATGGGTTCACTCCTTAGTTTAGTGTCACTTTAAGTTTGTCCATGCGACCCTTTACACCCAGATCAAATCCCAGCTGTCATTTTGATATTGTAGCTTTGAATGACAAAGCTCATGATTGGTGGCTACAGACAACCCAATCACTTTTCTGCATACCCCAACAATGATAGGTTCTCCTTGTCCCTTCTGGTCACAATGTCACGTCATCTTGCTCTCAGACTTCTTCTGGTTTGGTCCGATGTATTTCTGTGGAGTGTAAGGCGGCTTTTCTATAATGTCTGTGCCCATGTAAGGCTGTAAGACCTCAGGAACCCGCACTCTGCCATCCTAAAACAAGAAGCACAGTGTCAGAGCATCTTCCCAAAACAGAAAAAAAAGAAGAATTTTGTAGTCGTGTCCCCTGTGCTCATACGTATTGTATTTGCTTGCTTATGCTGTGTACTGATCATTGACTTGTAGCCATACCGCTGATCATATGCATGTTAATTACAATCAAGGGAAAAATCTATCCATGTAATGCTAAAAATATTCAGATTTTATGATAAAAAGTCTCTGTGTGTAATGGAAATGGTTAATATCAGGATGTTTGCTAATATTTACTCATTTTAAATCACATCTTTGGTACTCTCTACATGAGACAGTCTGGTAACATATCTACATGGAGCCATCTTGCAGTCTCTCAGTATAAAGGATGGTCCTTCCGCACAAAGTTCTCCAACAGCTTCACAATATGGTGCAGTCTCTTGACAGTCACTTTGTATAGTACAGTCTATGGCAAGGGTGGGCAGCCTTGTCACTCCACGAGAGTCATACGTGTGGCTGTCAGAGTCTTGCAATGCCTCATGGGACTTCCTGCAACAACTGGATTGCCAAGGCTGCCTACCCCTGGTCTATGGCCACCTTTCAGTACCATGGGACCAACAGAAGGTTTGCATAGACTTTGAATTCCTTAGGATTGGTATTTAAACACCAGAGAAAAAAATGGAGCTATTGCCCAAAGCAACCATATATTTTCTTGGCCACTATAAGCAACTTATCCACCACTCATATATACTCCCCCGTACTTGTATTTCTCACTTGGCAACAACTGAACAATTCCTGCTTGGCATTTGAAATGCCTCTACAAGCAAGCAGGACAACATGTGCTATTTCACTTGAGTGTGAAATCCCCTGAAAGGGGCAAAGACACTAAATGGGGTGTGATGACTTAAGCAAGGAAATAAAACAAGTGGCGCAATATAGAGTTTGCACATTCACCTTTAACTGGTTTGACTCCAGAAGGGCAATGATGAGTCGCGGGACTGCGCAGGCTGTTCCATTAATCTACCAGAAAGGAGACAAGATTAGACTTTCCGCAAAATAAATAAATACAAATGCCATTCAACAAAAATGTCAGTAATAATGATAACGTGTCAGCTACCCAGGGCCTGATATCACCAGCTTAGACATTCCTGTAAACTGGCCATTCCAGAAAATGAAAGGCTGAAAATGTACACTGGCAACACATCAGGACTGCAGTTTTACATCCAGATACAACTGTAGTCCACCCAGTCCTTTCTGGTGGTCATCTGGAAACCCCTTTTTGTCTATTTTTTTATAAAGCAGGAGAGGTGCAGACACACATGGTGCAGGCTCTCGATGGTTGAATTTAGCACAGTAGTGGAGTGTACTGGAGAGCATTACCTGTTCACTGGTTGATTTCATTTGTTGCCTGGAACTGCTCTGTAAAGCTCAACTCCGGCATGAGCAAACATTGTCTAAATACAAGAGCCATATGTATTTTTCCTTGAATCTTTACCAACTTTGTATATTTCATCCAGAACTGTGCAATAATCCAATTTGAAACGTTACCTCTGTGCAGGAGCTTCCTGTAATAGAGACCAGTCACTGCTGCTCTTTCTCCTTGTGCAGGGATACTGGTCTTGTCTCCGCCCGCCTCCTGTAGTTTTCTGTAGTGGGAGGGGCCTGTTGGGTCCCTACCACGGCTCTGCTCTCTGCACAGGCTATATACAGCACAGTGAAGATGTCACCGCTACTTGGTGGTATTATCTGGGTTTGCAAAGCATTTGGTGCACACTAAGCAGATGGATATCCTCTGTGGTTATTGAGGAATATATTTAATGAATGTTTTATGTGCCCAGAGTTCAGCTGTAAACCTTTTTTGGGCTTACTATTTTGCCTCATGCAAGCTCAGCTTAAAACCAAAAGAAGTTACACAGCTTACTTACTGTATGCGCATGACGGAGATTGCCATCGGGCCCCTGGTACATGATGTTCAGTCGTCGGCTCTGATAATCGGTGCAGTTTGAACAACTGGAAATCTAAAAGGTCACAGAAAGAGATCTCAATAAGGAAAAGAACATGGTTTTCAAGCAGCTGTGAAGGTTGCTTCCTTACTGCACAGTCCGTTCTCTATCCTGTTCAGAAGATTATCCCTCTGGGAGTGTCACTCTACCTTCTGACACCTGCCCTAAACTAAGCCCAATTTTATTGTGCTGTCTAACCCACTGCCAACGTGTGCGATATATACAGCTACCAGGCCGCAAATAGAGAAGACACCATTTTTCAACCCAGCTCTGGCTCTTCTCTTTGAAATTGAACATTTCCACTGTAGCATGACTTAGGTTTAAAAAAAAATTAAAAAAAATTAAAAGCACTTAGGCCTTGTTCACACCAAATGCAGAGCAGATCCGGTCAGGTTTCTGCACACACAGTGCAGTGGGTTGTTCCACGTTTTTGCCGCATTTTTGATGCGTTGTGGGCCGGTTTTGGTTAAAAAAAATGTAAGTTTAACATGGGCTTTCAGGCACTTGCATGCGTTTTTGATGCGTTCCAGAGCAGGTAAAATAGGGCTTGCCGCAGTTTTTTCTCCTGCTCTGGATCTGGTCTGGATCCGCACGCTGCGATGTGAACTGGAGGTCAAAATACCATAGGAATACATTGGACGCAGTTTTGATCTGGTCTGCACCTGCTCTGGTCTGGATCTGCTCCGCGCTTGGTGTGAACAAGGCCTTAAAGTTTTGCTCTGGTGCCCTCAGCTGGAGCTAATCAAGTATTACACCAGGGGTGTCAAACTCAATTTAATCATGGGCCGCATCAACATCATGGTTGCCCTCAAAGGTATCTGTAAGACTATATAAATGTATCTAATCTTTATCATAGTTGCCTCTGCATTCGATGATCACTGGTTTTAGTAATAACTTAATACCTAGATCTGAAAGTAGAAGTCTAGGAAATGGCCTGGTGGGCCGGATTCGGCCCCTGGGCCTTGAGTTTGACACATGTGTATTACACCATGGGAAAAATTTGCTTCTTAAACAAAATCTTAATGCCAGTGACTCCTTGGGATAAGCACAGGGCCATGTTGTTTAGGAGGTAGCATTCCTAGTTACCTCTCCATATTTCCCTCTTCCTGGCATCCACGCCTCTATGTCATACTTCCTATAGGCAGGTAGCCCCAGTTCATGAGTTGGCATCTCCAAAACCCTGAAAGGCAAAACATAATAAATGCTGTAATGGTAAATAAAGAGTTAAAGTCCGAACTGCAGGTGTAACATTTCATTCAAGTCTTATTGGCTATGCTACACGTTTCAGGGGATATGAGGTTTGTGTAAAATAACATGAACTTGCTCTTTAATAACGACAGCCTCAATTTTTCTTTCAGGTAAGGTTTGCTTTAAAATAAGTGTAAAGGAAAAACCTTGCAAGACCAAAGGAATCAAAGGTGAAAGGAATCAAACACTCAAACATACAGTACTTAGGAATGACCAGTAAGACAGAAAACTGCAGAGATCTACTGAACAAAATTTGGTAAAACCCATTCCAACGTTACAAAGGATACACCTTTTTCTGTGGATTATGAGAAAGAAGCATATTTCATGCTACTTCAAGACTGTTACCGGCAAGAAAATATACATTTTATTCTTATATATGGCCACATCTCCCCTTTCCAAGAATGTTATTGTTGGGCAGGTCAAAAATAGGAAAGGCGGCTGAGTTCGTATCATGCAATAGAAACTTTGTTAGAGAGGGTCGGCACTGACTTGCAAGTTACAGTCTTTCCCACAAGTATAGTGTTTAAGGCCAACCCCATAAAATGTATTTTGGTTTTGTGTTCTGTATGACACGTTTAATCACATGTGAGTTACATCTATGATTCAGTGACTTCAGCAGAAGGCGCCTCCAGCAGAATGCATAGCTCCGCTCTGCCGTGGCCACTGCAAACCATATAATGGTGCCGTCCTTGCCTAATGGATTCTTAACAAGCAGACGGCCACCCCTGAGAAAGCGACACCGGCCTTATGGCTTTAGAAGTGGAGGGAGGAAATGCATTACTGTGGAAAAATCTCACCATTGGGCCCTCTATAACAGTGATGGGCAGCTTAATTGATATAGCAGGCTTCGAGTGCAGTCTCGGACATCACGGTACGTAGTGAAAAAGCATTTATGACCTCATGGTACATGAAGGAGCTATTTAGTAGATGTCTGCTTTAACTGTACAGGAGGTTTTCTTTTATGTTTTATAGACCTTAAAACTAGGCCACAGCAGCTCTACCTTAACACATGCAGATTTAAAGTTCAGCAACACAACTTAAAGATGAATGCGACACTCACTTAAAGTGTAAACCAAGCTCCGAAAATAACTCCTTCTGCAGCTGCAGGAATTCATCAAGCAACTCCTGACTTTCAGTCCCGCTGTCAGCAGCTGTGACCCCAAACATCTCTACCTGAGGGGGAGGAGAACAAAAATGAAATGACTACAAGCAAAGCATTGAAGACATCTCTGAGACTTTAGCTACATCTGTGTAAAGGTGCCCATACACTGCACGATTCTTGTACGAGAATCGCGGGAAATCCCGCGATCGTACGAGAATTGTGCAGTGTGAATGAAGACGTGCGACCGTTTTTACTAAGGAGCATGCTAGAAAACCGGCCAAAAATCTTACGATTTTCGGCTGGTTTGAATAATGCTCGGGAGACAAATGCCGAACGGGCCAGTGTGCACATGCGCACACTGCCCATTCAGCATTGCGGTCATTGCGATGATCGCAAGTACGATCTGCCTGTCCAAGATGGGAAGATCGTACGTTTTTAATTGCTTTACAACCATCGCAAGACTAAGGTCTTGTGATGGTTGTAAAGTGTATAGCCACCTTAAAAGGTGCTAATAGATGTAAAACTGGTTCCCCAAGAGGTATATTGTCTTCAGCTGAGCTCAATTTTAATGGAAGGTGAATCCTTTCTGATTGGGCGGTATTTGAATTTGGTCAATGCTGAGCTGAAATGAACTTAGACCTTAGGTGCAAGCACTAGAGGTGTTGCTTGTACCTTTCTGATTTAATAAACATCCACCAAATCCACAAGACTTATTTAAAGATTCCTTCTGTTTGTATGTATTAAAAGGACGCTAAACTCAGATCCTTAAATCATCTCTGAATTGGTGCTGACACTGTCCTTCCTTCTGGAGGGTGGCTACTTTTGTTCCCCATGGTCCCTGTGTGTGTTGTAAAGTAGGCACCCCTCCGAGCTCACTCCGTGGTTGACTATAATCATTAGTAAACTAAATGTGAGATTGTAGTCCATCACAGGAGTGAGCTTGGAGCGGTGACTACTTTTCAACACACCCACTGCTGTCCTCCCAAGAAAGCTAGCTGTCTGGCTTTCTCTGACTTTATAGCTTTTCTTAGGCACGGACCTGGAATAAGCATGCAGAGAAGAAAGTCAGAGTCACGTCTGAATTCCCGATCTGCATACTTGGTCTGTGTCTACAACATAGAAACTACCTGTAAAACTTTGAGTCAGAATGAGAGCCAGCCAACTAGGATTCTCAGAAGGAGAGGTCAGCAATGGCAGCTGCCACAACTCTACAGGTTTGAATTAAGAGAAGATAAGGAGACAGACCTTGGTAAAATGGTGAACTCGGTAGAGACCCCACGTTTCTCGGCCTGTGTCTGTCTCCGCTCTGTAACATGTGCTGCAGCAGACGGTTCTGAAAAGGAAATATAAACATATTACTACAGCTACTGGAGACCAGGATAAAGTGACACATAGAAAAGAATAAGCATATAAGTAAAACTGGTGCTACCATATAAAAATGGAGTTAGTTACATTGCGGGTCTACTTGAACCACTAATATATTCCCAAATAAAAAGCAGTGAAGGCAAAGGGGCTGCGTAGTTGTAAAATGGTGTAAAACAGGAGCAGAAGGCAAAAAATATCATACAATATACACAACTCACCTTACTGGAAGATCTGAGAGCTGTACTGCATGATCCATAAAGTAACCTGTTGTATAAAAAAAAGAGCATGCCGCAAAATCACTAACACTAATTTTACTCTCTGATCAGGTCACAGAGTGGAGCAGTGCATGTGTACATACAAGGTAAAGCACAGCATAGAGAGTACAGCAGTGGGTGTATAGGGTATAGCACAGCAACAATGGAGCAGTATGTGTTTCCATTATAACATAGAATGCAGAGTGGAGCAGTGTGTGTATAGGGTACAGCATAGTGTACAAAGTGTATGTATATCTTACTGTATATCACAGCAAACAGACTGGACCTAAGTGTGTGCATAGCATGTATATCACAGCATACAGAGTGGAGAAAGTGCATTTATACACTAAAGTACACCATACAGAGTGGAGCAGTGTGTGTATAAGGTATAGTACAGAGTGGAACAGTATGTGTGTGGCGAATAGCACACCAGTCAGAGCAGAGGAATGGGAGTATAATGTATAGCACAGCATACAGAGTGGAGCAGACTGTGTCTAGCTTATATTACATCATAAAGAGTAAGGATGAGTGTGTATTACATATAACACAGCACACAAAGTAAAATATAACCCAGTTTACGGAATGGCCTGTATATCACAAATGCCACTCAATAGGCTAACTAATTAAAGGAAACCAGTGCTGAGAAAAAACATTTTGGTTTCCATTGCTGACCTTTCCTTCTAGAAATGCCAACTGACTGGCTTTCTCTGAATTTAGGACTTCGAGTCAATGACCTAGAAAAAAAAAAAAAAAGTATGCAGCCAGTGATGTAAGAACTCCGATCTGCACTTATTCCAGGTGAATGGCTCAGAAAACAAGAAAGCAAACTTTTGCAGGGTAACAGAATCATTCAATTTGAATTCTGTGCAAGATCCAAGCCGCTCTAGTAGGATGCAATGATGCTCATACGGATACAAACCACAACATGGTGATAAAAGCATGTGCCTAAACTATTCAACAGACAAAAAAAAAAAGGTAATACAAGAAGATGTAGGAGAAGTGAGAGTGTAACGTTACCTGCAATACCAACTTCTGAGGTGCCAGTCAGGTGTAGATCAGGGTGTGAGGATGGGTCCAGGCTGTATACTTGGGAGCTGTGGGCACCGGGCTGCATGCCGCAACCTTCCTGGGACACACAGCACAACAGATGTCAGGAAGATGGGAGAGAACACAGGAAAGGGCAGGTAACATGTCAGTGTACTGTTATGTGGTAAGACCTATAACACCCATTTCCTAATCCCTTTGTAAAACTGCTACTTCTCTGACTGTAATGTTGATCCACCAGCTTTACAACATGGGAAGTCAGATACTTGTAACAAGTACTCATCAAATGAAGTCAGAAACTTCAACCAGCATACTTGTCTTAGGTTAGTGACTTGCTTATGAGTGATGACGAAGCATCAGCAAAATAGACCAGTAGCATTTTCTAAAAGGGGTTATTAATGGAAACAAGTAGAATATATAGAAACACCGGCGCTCCAAATAGTGAATCAAATACGTCTGTTTATTGACATACGAGCAGAATAGCGTGATGCATTCAATGCAACGTTTCGGGGTCTCACAGGATCCCAAAATTTCGGAATCGCAAAGGGGATCCTGTGAGACTCTGAAACATCGCATTGAGTGCATCACGCTATGCTGCTGAAGGGGATCCTGTGAGACCCCGAAATGTTGCATTGAGAGCATCACGCATCATGCTCGTACATCAATAAACAGACGTATTTGATTCACTATTAAGAGTCCCGGTGTCTCTATATATTCTACTAGCTAAATATCACGGAGCCAGCCGTCGACAGCTGTAGCACCCACCTTTATTACTTTGGAATAGCGGTTTTGAATGCGATGGGTTCATGGACTTTACATTAATGGAAACAAGGTTCCCTTTAAACTAGCATTATATTAGGGTATATAATTGTTTCTGAATGATTACACTACCCAGAGAGCTATCCTACACTCAACCCCAATGATGGACAATCTGCCTTCTTCTCAATAGGCACAGCAGTCTCTGATGAATGCTGCAAAGAACAGTAAGGGCCTGTTTATACTAGCTTCCTAGTGGGGGGGTGCTTTGCGCTGTGTCAGTGTATCACACTGCTTACACAATTTTTACTTTATTCAGGTGTCACAAAATGACACTTCATTAAAGTTGATGCACAGCTGCCGAGTTGCTTTGCGATGACAGTGACTTCAGGTGAGCCCTGGTGCATTGCGGAAAAATGCCGCATGTCTGTATTTTCCTGCAACACACTGCAACCCACCTAAAGTCAGCCATGCAGTGTGAACAGGACACATTTTTTGTGTGCCTCAGGGGTGACTGGTGTTCTTGTACAGGACAACACAGGTCACAGTGTGAATGGGCCCTAAATTAACTGTATATGATTGGCTTCTATATGCAGTGCCAGCTGCCAAGGCACTATGTGACCAGCCTAAAGCTCACTGCACACATTAAAATCTTACGGCACAATCAACTAGGTTTACCAAACCTATGTGATATGAGAACCTACCTGAACTATTCAATCAATCTTTATCTGCTTAGGAAGAAGCTTACACTACATAGTTGTTTAGTAGATCTAAAGGAGATTGCAGAGTCAGATTGTATTGTGTGTGGTAAGTACTAGTCATCTACATCTTTATCAGGAAAGCAATAAAAAAGAGACAGAACTTACAAACACAGCTCCTCTGAACATGTCAGGAACAGACATCGGGATAAAACCCTGCAGGGGATAAGAGAGAGAGAAATTCAGTGATAGCTACTGCCATTTTCACCTTATAAGATGTGTGGCAGTGGTTCTTCCGGCTCTCAAAATAAACAAATACACATTGCCAAACCCTGTATGCATGTAATAAATGTATATAGACCTGTAGGGAAAGGCATACCCCAAAAGACACCGAGATCATGTGTTTGCACATCCAAATGCCTTTTGATGTCTACAACTGATTTCAGTGAAAGTCTATGTAAGCTCTCATGAGCAGAACTCTCCTTACCATCTTGTATTCATTTTTATTGTAACAGTAATGTCTTCCCATATATCGTCAGGCGCTGTGCAAACTGTTGGCGCTATATAGATCCTGTATTATAATAATGTAAACACTAAATATATTTTTCATTATGTTTGCCATCCTGCCTCACTGGATACAGTTTTTTTAAGCAAATTGTTTTGAAATTTGCTCTGCTATGTGAGCCCCTTCAGTTGCCTGTTGGGCTTCCTAACGGATAGGTGCAGACATGGCTGGCTGACAATTCTGCTGCTACTTCTTCTGAGGCTGTGGCTTAGTGTTAGCCTGCAACAGGAATTGCTGGTACTGACAGTTAGGAGCCAACCAGGCACACAGTGCTGTCAATCTAAGGAAACATACTTACTGAGAGAAGAGCAGAGAATGACCTCGTTATAACGGGGCTCCTTTATTGTCCCAGTCAGCAGGAATGGGATGAGCCTGTGACCAAGTTGTACACTTCTCTTGAGAAAAGTCAGGTCACTGACCTGGGTACTCTGGTTTATTATGGAAGCTTAAGTCACTAGACTGGCAGACAATAATTACTAGAATTCAGCAGGCAAAACACGTCACACACACACGCATTTTTAACTTGGTGCTTGTCGGCTTGCCTGGAAATAAAAACTTTAATATCTAAAAGAACAGAAGCATTTATTATTTACTCATTTAGGTCCCATTCACTCCGGATCAGTTGCGTTACTGTCTGTTTTTCAATGGATGGTAACGCAAGGGCAGTGAAAAATGAATGGGTGTGAATGGGACAGTTCACACTGCTGCACTGCAAAATGTTGCACTGAAAAGCAAGCTCTACTTTCTTTCAGCACAACGCGTCAAAAACCCGTGCTAATGCAGTCTAATGCAATGCAGTGCAAGCTATTACACTGCAGTAGTGAAGACGTAGTGGTCACATACGAACAACATTTTTTGGACATACATTTGGCCATGCTTTCTCAATTTACAAGAAAGTGAAAATCCAAACTATCAATTGATGGTACCAAAACCAAGCCCTGGTGAGCAAACCAGCTTGCTGTGGGCACTCATGTGTATAAGAATGATCAGTGATTCCTTTTACCTTTTTTACAAGTTTATTGATTGTAAAGTTCACAAGAGCATGCTGTAACATTGTGCCAGCTCCTCTGAGATAATAGGATCGGTGACCCGAAACATGCGAAAGGCGCCTGTAAAAAATAAACAACATATAAATAACAATCTATCCATAAACTGCAGTGGTAGGGATAAGCTGGCCACACACTGCTCAAAATTTGGCGTCCTGCTGACTTTTTCTAAATTGGAGCTTCTGGTCAAAGCATAAAATGAACAAATATGGCCGGTCCCATGTACATACAGAATATAATGACAAACTATGTATAGAAACAACTTTTTCAAAACGCTATTACAAACTGATATTATTTACATCAAGTTGATCCCATTTACACACATAGCTACAGAATACATATTCCCTTTAACATTCTCATAGAGGCGAGGATACTGTCACTTAACTGGCAGATGATCATTATGTGGATGCCAAAGAGGGAGCGAGGGCGCGGATGCAAAAGAGGGACTGAAGACTTGATTTTGAAAAAGGGACTGAGGACTCTGATATGAAGGGGGCGCCCACCTTTTTTGTTTCCGTGCGGAGTGTCCCTTTAAAATCTATACCAAATCTCCAATAAGGGTATGATATGAATTTTGTAGGGACCACACGTCGTATTTTATATTATTACATTTGTGTTTTTTACATTTTAGACTGGAGTACCTCGAGATTCTGCATACTTTTAAAGGAAAACTATGGGGTAAGTGTTTTTCCCCATAGTTCTCTTAAGGTCACGGGAGGACATAAACTAGCGTCCCCCCGTGACACAAAGCTCAGTGTATCGCGAGCTACAGATCGCGGTATACCGAGACCGCCGAAGCCGGGATGGATCCCGACATTACTGTCGAGATCCACCCAGCTGTGTGAGTGACAGCTGGCTCTGCCTATCTAGAGGCAGAGCCAGCTGTACCGCCCCCCTCCCCTGTCCGTTCCTCCACTCAGTGCTGGAGGGGGGAATCCCTGCAGGGAGCCGTGAGAGACAGTCACGGCTCTCTGCAGGGATAGATCGAGAAGTGAGCGATCGACGATATGTGTTCGCTCACTTCCCGATCTATTGAGCCGACGTAAGACGGTTTAATTGTCAAACGTTGGCTCGAACTATGAGGATGAGTGAAAATCACTCACCTCATAGTTCTCCTTTAAAGGGTGCCCTGACTGAAGAAAAGGCTGAGAAACACGGTCCTAGACTGTTTTTCCAATTCACTGGCATGTAGACCGCGGCATCATAAATATACGTGGCGTCATGCGGCATCATAAATACGTGGGAAAATAGCAGGAGAAATGATCTGTAAAACCAGCACAGCAAGAAGTGGCACTACTAACACTTTACAGTAGACTTGTCCCTGAACAAACCAAATGAAACTGTAAATAAGATGTTATCTAAAACAAATGACAAAATCTATAGCATTAGAGTTGCAACTATTCCATGCGCTGCCACAATATTCGGAAACTTTCTAGGAGTGACTGTTCTATTCGCCCAGACCTGGAATGGGGACTGCTGAGTGCTACAAAGTTTCCGTCATACGCACCTGCTGTCACAATATAACTCTTCGCCCACATTCCTCCCTCCCATCTACTTTACTTTTCCACCTGCAGCTCATTTTCTCCTCATTATGTCCTGTATTCTGCACAGAATTATTACTGTACACATACAATGTACAGAGACCAACAAATAGGATTACACCATAAAGACACAAAGAGCTCAGAGACTGCAGTCTATTGTATTCTGACAGATGCATCCCACTCTTGTTCTGAGAGATTGAGGCTGATTGAATTAGCAGACGATTTCAGTATGGAAATTGCCCTAGGCCACCATTGCCTAATGAGATATTTGCTACATCCAGATGTCTCGTATACAAGTCAGACACGGAGTCATTGTACACGTGTTTGTCATACAGTCCCTTAAAGAGACTGTCACTTTCCCCATTTAGGTCAAAGTGACAGGTTCTCTTAAAGCCCGACTGAGCAAAAATCTCAATGAAGCCTGTGTGATAGCAAAAATGTTCCTCCTACAAAACCAATTCATGTGTTTTCATCCTTATTTTCTGCTCGTTACCTGCACGTGGACCGGCCCTGTCAGAGCGGTTATGATGACATTATCATGTCACTGTGATGTGTATTGTGGGTGGAATCATTACAATGTTATTACTGCATTAATAGCATGAACAGAGGCCAGGAATCATGGGAGATGTAATCCCAGAAAATTGGAAGAAATAACTGCTGCATGCACCATCCTCCAGGCATCCAAGTATAGCTGGGAAATAGTACAAATATGTGAGGTATTTGTGTATGGGTAAAAGTACAACCGTATATAGGAAGGCAGGATTCCTGAGTTGGGTTTTAATGGACTACCACCCCCAACCATCTTTGGTTAATAACTAGGGATACACCAATACCGTTTTTTTGTATCGAGTACCAATCAGTTTTTTTTAACGTACTCCCCGATACCAAATACCAATACCAGCATCCCGAGGTATGCCTGGCTTCCTGATTGCCTATCGAAAGAACACTGGCTTCACGCTCCCTCGCGACACTGCAAGGCAGCCTGGCTTCCTGACCAATCAGATTGGTCAAGAAGCCAAGCTGCCTTGCAGTGTCACTAGGCAGCATTGAGCCGGCTTCCTAGGCAATCAGGAAGCTGGGAGGCGGGTCATGACGTGCCGGCCGGCTTCCCGATTGGTCAGAAAGCCAGGCTGCCTAGCCACAAGTGAAGCCAGCTTCCTAGCCATCAAGAAGCCGGGAATCAGGTCATGACACGCCACCTGGCTTCTTGATTGTCCGGGAAGCCGGCTCCATGCTCCCTCGTGGCACTGCCGATATCTCAGAGTACTCGCCCATATACTCAGTATCGGAACCAATACCAGTATCAGTGCATCCCTAATAATAACCCTTTCCAACACAGAGCTTATACAAGGCATAGATCAGGAATAGGCAAAACTTCAGCCCTCCAGCTGCATCATGGCTCTGCCTCTGGAAGTCAGTCTTACAATGCCTCATTGGACTTCTAGTGTTCTCACAGCTGTAGGGCTGAAGTCTGCCTACCCCTGGTTTAGACCATAGCTCTGACAAACAAACAGAGAACCAGGTAGCCAAGCAAAGGCAACTATCAATGGGTGGGATGCTCAGTTTTCAAGAGAATGGACAAAGCGATGGGGTCTCTATAAAGCTGAAGTCCAAGCAAGCAGCTCAATTGACACACTTGAAATCTATTATATGGAAACTGTTTTTATAACTTGATGCAGGAAATTATGTATTCCAGCAGGCGGCACAGGCAGATCGTTGACCTCTACTGCATCATCAGTACAGCTTGGTCAAACCATTGCTCAAAACACATCCACAGGCTGTTGATTGCACAGAGAAGGAGAACCAAAGGCACACTGATCTCTCCACCTACAGCAGAACCCGACTAGCTAAGAGTGCAGACTCTTCCTTGCGCTGTCTGAGAGTCTGCATAAGGGATCGCAGGCTGCAGATAGAAAAGCAAATTCAGGTACTTAGAGGCTGCAAATAAAATAAATGTCATGATTTTTTAAATGTAATCTCAAATGGACTAAAAGATGTTTTTGCTGTGTATGCCTTGTTTTCAGCTTTAGCCTTCATATATTTACAGATTTGACTCAAGTCTCGGATCAGTGTCGGCTTTTTTACCTCTGTCTGACAATATCCAGGTCCTCTCCTATCTCCAGGTGGCCTTGAACTTTAAAATCAAATTCTAAAAAACAATGGATATGAGAGAACATAAGAATAGTGACACAGTGCAGAACAGGACAATAATACATACTGCCCCTCGTATTAAAGAACTACGGCGTCATAGTTAGAGCCGACCCGTGACATTGAAACTGTCACACTTCGGCTCTATTTTTTTTTTGCATGCGATTATTGACATTTTTCAAACATTCGCAGCAGATACACATGTAAAACCATCGTAACAGATTGGCATATGCTTAATACATTCTATGACATGTATAGATAACGGCTATGTCAGTAAAAAACAACTGTGAGAGCATCCGTTATCTGCATAGCAAACATTGCAACAACTTATGATCAGTTGTCGATAAACCAGAAGGGTAAAGATAGAAGAGGTAAAATAAGATAAACATCTAATGCTTCACCAATATTATCAGATCGATATGAACTAATTTTGGGGTACACCATGTAAGATCGTAGTGATAAAGGGACAAAACTGGGACAAACTGAGTGTCAAGGGATGAGGAGGATCGTTGGGCAATGGGCAATGGGCAAGGGTAGACCGCAACCAATACTGATCCTAGTGATATGGGACATTTTTTATAGTATGAGGAAAGGGGCTCCAGCCTTAAGCTCATAATACATCCAAGGCCCCCAAGGAGCCTTTTCGGCTCTATTGATCGGGAAGTGTGCGAACACATACCGTCACTCGCTCACTTCCCGATTATCTCCCTGCAGAGAGCGGTGACTGTCACTCACAGCTCCCTGCAGGGATTCCCCCTCCCCTCTGCGATCCTCCAGCGCTGACTGGAGGAACGGACGGGGGAGGGGGCGGGCACAGCTGGCTCTGCATCTAGATAGGCAGAGCCCGCTATCAATCAGCGAGTGGGGTGGATCTCGACAGTATTGTCGGTATCCGTCCCGGCTGCGGTGCTTTTAGAATATAGCGGGCTGAGTTTTGGGACACAGTATATGTCCTCCCGTGACCCTGAGGAGAACTAGGGGGAAAATGTTTTTGCCCCCTAGCTCTCCTTAAAGGCCTTATTCACACTGCGTTAACATGGTGTGTACACGCCCGTGCGGAGATCCACCCAGCTGCGTGATTGACAGCTGGCTCGGTCTATCTAGAGGCAGAGCCAGCTGTACCCGCCCCCTCCCCCATCCGTTACACCAGTCAGCGCTAGAGGATCAGAGCGGGGAAGGGGGAATCCCTGCAGGGAGCAGTGAGTGACAGTCACGACTCTCTGCAGTAACAGGATCGAGAAACGGCATGTGTTCACTTACTTCCCGATCTATTGAGCCGACCTGTGACAGTTTCATTGTCACACGTCGGCTCGAACTATGAGGCTGAGTGATTTTCACTCACCTCATAGTTCTCCTTTAAGTGTAGATTAAACAAGAGTTGAAGGAATAAGAACAGTCACATTGTATCCTTCACAACACACAAGCACTTACCAGGCTTCACCCCAACTACTTGAAGTTCTCGAGCATTGCTCTCGTCTCCTACCGGCTGTAATGGGAATAAGAAATAAGCTGCATTAGACATTGTGATGACTAAAATACTGCAAATTAGGACTATTACCAAGGCTGCCCTTATGTGGGTGTGAGGATCCGTGATCTTCAAGCCTGCTCTCCTTTATCATCTGAAGGCCCCAGTGGACTCACAAAGGTTCATGAAGAATACAGGGAGAGACAGCGCAGCTCTGCATATAGCTGGACCAAAAACATAACCGTCTTCATCTCTGGTCTGCCAAAGTGTGCCTCTGCACTATGATCTACCGCATCCTGCAAACACCTCTGTACATAAGTAGACCAAAGTCTTTAGGCCCCATTCACACCTGCACGTGGCAGGAACGTGTGCCATCTTTGCGTACGTTAGTGCACGTTTGCCACGTTACCACATTCATTTCAATGGGTTCATATATGCACAACAAAAAAGCTCATGTAGTATTTTGTGCAACACATATTCCGTGTTGTTTGCTTTCACACGCGTAAACTTGTGCAAATGAGGCGCAAAAACGCGTATCTTGCTGGCTACGTTTGGGGTGCCATTAGAAATGAATGGCACCACATGTGCCCTTAGCCGCATTTCCGCACGTGAAATGCACTTTGGCGTGCGTTCACAGAACGGGGCCTTAGACATCTGCTGTTGAGAGTTCAAAAAGGAGTGTTAGCAAAAAGAGCACACATCTTCACACTCTTTTAAGGGCACCCTGAAGAACCCTAAAGTATTTAAAAATTTTCATATATCGGTATTCAGTTATGCTCTGGTGGGTTTATTCATCACTCCATTAGCAATAATTTTTTTAACTCGTTAGCATGCACCAATAGAAAAAAGAAGCAATTTATAATGAGAATTTATATATAATTCTTGAATTCTACTTTTTGAGTTGAGCTTGATCCTCTGCCTTCTTCCGAGACTCCCAATAGAATGAGTCAGGCCATTAACGGACCAATAGTAAATCCGCTCTTGAGCAGCTGTCACCTGAAGAGGAGTCCCTATTGGAAGCTGTGCACTCTATTTGTATTCTAGTGACAGATGTAACATTTTGGGTTTCCTCATCACTTTCTGTGCCAATAACAATAGTAACCAGGACAAATAGAGGAAAGAATCTTCCCAATGTGGACATAAAAAAACAAATAATAATATCACTAGAAGTGACCTTTTCATTCTTTTTTACTACTCATGCTTAAAGGGTTATTAAGCCCTCCGGTGTTTTTGCATATATCTACTGCTAGCAAGCTGTAGACATATGCAAAAACTAAAAAAAAAAAAACCTTTTGAATCTTCTCCGCGTGCTCCCGTTCGAAAATCTGAAAAATCTCGGGCGGCCGCAAAGCATCTTGGGGCGGGCGCATGCGCAGTTCAGATCTTCGGCCGGGTGACGAGGAAAGACGCAAGGTAAGTCTATGGACAGCGTGCACCCGCATGCAGACACGATGGGACAGGAAGTGCCGGCAAGGACAGAGGCGTCAGCGCTGGATCGGAGACCCGCAGCAGCGCTGGAGGGACAGATTAAAACGACAGGAAAGAAGAAGAAGATCGGATTAAGAGACATCATTTAAGGTAAGTGCTTACACTATCATTGGGGGGAGGGGAAAAATTATACTTTAATGTCACTTTAATTTAAATTGCAGATTTGCCACAGGATTATCTCAACAGGGAACCGGCCAGAAAACTAATTTGGAGTTGCTTCTGCCAGCTTGTTTTTAAAGGTGCAGACTTCATAGCAGAGCAGTCATCTGCACCCTTATGTTACTACTAATTGTGCCGCTAAGTACTGAAAAAAAGAAAGGCGACAACACAAAGTTTGCACCTTCTAAAAAAATCAATGGCTTATGTTTACCCATCTTGACTGGTTCACCTTATCAAAAGGAACACTTTTCCACTAAAGAACATCTTACGTTAATTCTATCCAGGGAAATATTGGATGTATTGGGAAGGGGTGTCACATCAAAACAGTGACAAGAGATTTTGTAGGTCACTTCCTTACATGACTATCGTCACTTCCCTGAGGAGGAGATTCAGAAACTAGGGAGGACTACTACCCACCGTGTTGGGATGAGTTCTGTTTGGTATCTTTAGCGCCCGTAGGTAGAAAGAATCCTCCAGAGCAGTCTCCTGCTGGTAGAAGGTGGTAAGCTGTTGGCGGATTTCCTTTCCTCGGTTCCTCATGGACTGGTAGCTGGGGAGCTAAGATAGAGGGAACATCAAGACCCAAGCTAATGATTTCCACCAAATGCTGCAGCTGTGCTATGATCATAAATTTCATTCAATTTACTTTCATCTCAGTTCTCTGCAATCTACTAGACTAATAAGCATATAGAGCTCCAATATAGGTCAGTAGGAAGGTACTTGATAGAGCCATCCCACACACATCTCTTGAGGATGGTATAATGTGGGTACATGACAGATGCTGGCACCAAGATGATGCCACTTTTACTTATCTAAATCCATGGTCATGTGATGCACTAGGTGCCATATCTCCTCTCTTCTTGTTGGTACATTGAAAGTAGATTTTACCATCATACAAAAATTTGCCCTCATCAAAACACTTTCCTCATAATAAATAATTCTAGATTATAACAGAACTTACCGATTGCAGACTCTGACCATCATGTATGAGCTATAAGAGAGACAAACAATCAAATATATAAAGAAGGATTACAGTTTATTTAATTGTTTACAACATTCTTTGCCTTATGTAATGAAAATATGAAATAAAGGAAAGTGTGTGTGTGTGTGTGTGTATATATATATTATTATACAGGATTTATAGAGCGCCAACAGTTTGCGCAGTGCTTTACAATATAAGGAAGACATTACAATCACAATACAATTCAGGACAAGATGGTAAGGAGGGCCCTGTCCCTGAGGGCTTACAATATAAAAGGAAGGGACCAGTGATACATGAGGAGGTAGCTGTGTGGGGATGAATTGTTTGAGAACGTGATGGTTGAGTGGTTAGGTTGAGGTCGGATAAGTCTTAAGTGAGCTCCTAAAGGCAGTCAGAGTGGGAGATAGACGGACAGGTTGGGGTAAAGAGTTCCACAGAATGGGGGAGACTGTAGAGAAGTCCTGGAGGCGAGCATGGGAGGAGTCGACAAGGAAGCTAGAGAGCAGGAGGTCTTGGGAGGAACGTAGGGGACAGTTAGGGCGATACTTAGAGACAAGGTTTGAGGTATAGCCGGGGGCAGAGTTGTGGATGGCTTTGTAAGTGGTTGTTAATATTTTGAATGTTATCCATTGGCCGATTGGAAGCCAGTGCAACGTAGATGTACACGATCTGCAAATACTTCACCCTACGGAGAGCAGATTGATGAAAAAGCAATATACACATAATGCCCCCCATGTGACAAACACTACTCACTGTCAGATTCTTGATCTGATTGGCTATTTGTTTCTTCTCCTCTTGCAGGCTGTGGATGTTCGCCTTCACCCTCTGCAGCTGCTCCCATGAACTCAACTGTGAAATCAACAAAATAGGAGATCCCATTACATCACCGTCCTCCGATACCACAAAACACTACGCAGCTGATCACACTACATACCAGCAATTAGGATTACATTTTCCAACCCACACCAGAATAAAAACACAGCTACAATCTGGTCAGTTGCCATGACGAGACCGTTCTTACAGATGTTACTGTGGTGAATCAGATTATACACAAATAAAGCCTTAAAGTGACACTATACTCAGGGGTTAAATCCTAAATACATTCATGTACCTTAACCATTAACAAAAATGTATCTTATTTTGTATCACTCGGCTGTAGATCCTCCAATCATCTCTGAATTGGTGCTGACACTGTCCTTCCTTCTGGAGGGTGACTACTTTTGTTCCCGATGGTCCCTGTGTGTGTTGTAAAGTAGTAGGTTTGAGGTATAGCCGGGGGCAGAGTTGTGGATGGCTTTGTAAGTGGTTGTTAATATTTTGAATGTTATCCATTGGCCGATTGGAAGCCAGTGCAACGTAGATGTACACGATCTGCAAATACTTCACCCTACGGAGAGCAGATTGATGAAAAAGCAATATACACATAATGCCCCCCATGTGACAAACACTACTCACTGTCAGATTCTTGATCTGATTGGCTATTTGTTTCTTCTCCTCTTGCAGGCTGTGGATGTTCGCCTTCACCCTCTGCAGCTGCTCCCATGAACTCAACTGTGAAATCAACAAAATAGGAGATCCCATTACATCACCGTCCTCCGATACCACAAAACACTACGCAGCTGATCACACTACATACCAGCAATTAGGATTACATTTTCCAACCCACACCAGAATAAAAACACAGCTACAATCTGGTCAGTTGCCATGACGAGACCGTTCTTACAGATGTTACTGTGGTGAATCAGATTATACACAAATAAAGCCTTAAAGTGACACTATACTCAGGGGTTAAATCCTAAATACATTCATGTACCTTAACCATTAACAAAAATGTATCTTATTTTGTATCACTCGGCTGTAGATCCTCCAATCATCTCTGAATTGGTGCTGACACTGTCCTTCCTTCTGGAGGGTGACTACTTTTGTTCCCGATGGTCCCTGTGTGTGTTGTAAAGTAGCCACTGCTCCAAGCTCGCTCCTGTGATAGTAAACTAAACCTGAGACTGTAGTCCATCACAGGAGTGAGCTTGGAGCAGTGGCTACTTTACAACACACACAGGGACCATAGGGAACAAAAGTAGCCACCCTCCAGAAGTGTCAGCACCCAGTGGCGTCACAAGGGGGGTGCGGCCCGCACCCAAGTGACACCATTTGAGGGGTGACACCAAAATGACTGACAGTCATTTTGGTGTCACCCCCCTCTGAAAAGTCGGGAGCTTGTTCATGGACCGAACGCCCATCAGTATCAGGAGAGAGGAGGGGACCCAGCGGCATACCTTATCCCGACGGGTGACTGTCCCCTCCTCTCTCACGAAGATGGCCGCCGGCAGGTATCAGAAGAGCGCTGCGCGTGCGCGATGACGTAATCGCCGACGGTCATGCGTGGTGACGTCTCAGGGGGGTGACACCTAGGGTTGCAGCCTTTTCTTACAGCGAAACCTGAACAGAATTTTTTTGGGGACATGAGTCAAAGCTTATTCATATGTAAATAGTGCCACCCATTAATATGTAAATATCACATTCGAGACTATTTTCGGTGGGGGGCCAGTAGCCACTATCTTAATTTTGGTTGCCCCTGTCTGCCTGACATCTTTTGTCCGGGTTTCAGCTGCCGTTAAAACCGGTACAGAGCATTCAAAACCCGGACTGTCCGGGTGAATCCCGGACAGGTGGCAACCCTAATGACACCGGGTAACCGCTCCGGGTGTCACCCAGCCTTGGGACGCCCCTGTCAGCACCAATTCAGATATGATTTGAGGATCTATAGCCGAGTGATACACAAATGAGATAATTTTTTTTGGTAATAGTTAGGGTACTTGAATGTATTCTTAAGATTTAGCTTCTGGAGTTTAGTCAGGTGTCAGTCAGTCATGTGGTCAAGTGTCAGTCAGGTGTCAGTGAGTAAGGTGTCAGTCAGAGGACAGTCAGGTGACTCCCTCACCAGTTCCCGCAGTTCTCCCTCCGGTGCTCTCCCAGGTCTGCGCTCTCTTAACTCCCTCTCCGCCTCCTCTATCTCCCGGCTCAGCCTCTCCATATCCAGCTCAGGCCGCCCGCTGTATCCCTCCTT